TTATGACTTTTTGTGATTTCCATGTTGTGTCGCGTCCAAGGGTTTTAACATGTTCTAACCCTTGAACTCCAGTGAGCCCTTGTGTAGCTTGTGTAGCACACATCCAGCTGAGCTGAAGTCGTTGTCGCCTAAGCTAAGGAATTTGTACGTCACTGCATTGCTTCGTTGGAAAAGAGTCTTGTGCAAGCACCCTGAAGCATCGAAACATCCTTACTCCACAGCCTGGATCTCCTGTTGCCGCGTGCCATTCTTAATGACCTCAGGCAAAGTATGCCCAGTGCATATCCCAGTGCCATTCTTTCTTGTGTGCGGACCACTTGTTATATACGTGATTATACGAGTATTTAAAGGCACCGTATTAGGTCTCTCAACACGCTCACCTGGCATATCAAAAGCCTCTGGCGCATTCTGACAGTGACTGCTACAGATATTGCTGGAGGCATCGCACAAACAGCACCCATCTCTGAGAAGCCAGCACAAACAGCACATCAGCATCTCCAAGTCATGAAAAGCTGGAGTTGTCCCCAGGACAGTTGATCAATTAACATCAATTAACCAGACCCGAGAAAGTCGCACTGATTTTATCGTCTTGGCTGAAAAAGTGCTGTAAAGCCAAAACGGATGTGATTTGTGCAGATTTGGGCAAAGGCAAAACTACGCCTGTTTGATCTAAGTCTAGGAAACGAAAAGAATCCGTCTTCTTGGTTCTCTGAAGTCCGACATGCTGTGTTCGTACGTTTAAGGGCGGTGTCTTCTGGAATCAGCAGTTCTGACAAGAGGGCCGAGTGCATCATGATATCGAGCTATAGATTGGATGCAATGGTCCAATGCTCAATAAAAATCTCAAATCTAATGAAATATGTGCGCTTCAAGGCTTGTCTCTTTCTCGAGCTTGAACCCAGAACAATGAGCCTCAAAGTCTAGTTGAAGCTGAACCGGTTTCAACACAAAGCACAGCTGGAAGGCTATGGAAATGCATAGCTGTTGAACGGACTTCCAAGTCTTCGCGTTGAAAATATAAAATCAGGAGCCCAGGAAAAAAGGAAAAGACAGATGAAGATGTATACCATCGTACAACTCCATTGTGTTCTCCGCGCCTGATGCAGCCACATTGAGACAAGCTGCACAGTGGTGAAAAGAATTTTGACCCGAGACTCGAGTAACTGTTGTAAATCCTGAGAAAGTCACAGTCATGTATAGAACATTATAGAAGTCTGTGTCGGATTTACCGGACTTGGAAAACTACTGGGTCTGTTGCAGGAAATTAGCTCCATTCATCATCATTCATGTCCCTCGCGTGACAAATCTCATATTGATGTATATATATATATATTGATACTTCAGTAGAGTTGCAGGTCTAAAGTGGAAAATCTTTCAGCACAAGACTTGGGAGAAAATTTGAAGAAAGTGCATTGACGTTCACTTGGCATCTGCTGTGAGCCACCCTGGTCTCTGGGTACGTCCAAGAGCTGCTGAGTCATGAGGCCCGAATATCTTCGGAATTTTCCTTGTCAAAATCTATCGAGTCTATCTGAGTCTATCTGAGTCTATCTGAGTCTATCTGATATCCAAGAAGAGTTGAGAGTTGAGGGCTTGTGCTAGCCCTGCTAGCCCTTCAATGCATTGAACATCATTAAACTTTATGTGGCTAAGATGATCGATCAATAGAAGCACCTGCAATCACAAGCTGCGCATTCAATCTTCTTGAGTTTCAATGCCAGAAACCTCAAGAAAGTTGTTGCACTTCACATGTACCACAGAAGCTGCCACAGGTCCACCAGGGGTTCCCTAGGGCTCAATTCCCACATAACCACGCAGGATCCAGCGGTAAAACGGGGGATATCGGGGGATGCACCTTGAGTGCCTTGGTCGAGTCGATGCAAACATGGTCGCTGTCAAGAAGCCAACTACGGGATACGGCTACAATGTTGGACAAATGCTTCATCACAGCATCTCCCAGGTAGTCAAAACATCTCAAAACCAAAGACCGAACTGGCTCATAACTTGGCCTACTCACCCACAATGTTAACAGAGTGGACCAGGATGGACCAGGTATAAATGCATCAACCAAGCTTACTGGGCCAGGGCAAGGCAGCTGCCTTGCAAGGCCATCTACTGATTTTCGGATTCCTTGGCCCTGGACTTCTGAGTAAAGCTCTTGGGTCTGCTGATGCTCCCCTGAGTCAACAAGATTCAACAAGTCAAAATGCTGCGACTCAGAAGATTCACAAAAGATTCACCAGCAGTTACTAGCAGATTCGCCATTGGATTCGAGCATTGACTCGGCTCTACCTATGCTCTACATCGGTGATTTGCCGGTGCCCAGCAGTACGCCTGGCGCATCTCTCCTAGGGCCTTGCAGCAAAGTGGTGACCTCGATGTATCGATGTATCGTGACATGCGTGACATGCGGCGAGGGACAAAGGCGGCAACAGGTTGCTTAACAGCTGGCTCGACTCAACTGAAAAATGTGCATCAATGAATTATAAATGAATTATAAATGAATATGACATCAATCTACAGTACCTGTCAAGCCTTTGCACCAAAGTCTTCACCATCCAAGAGCTCGACTTTGCGAAGTGCCAGGGCGCCAGGTGTGGATAGCTGAGCAGTCAGGTCCTGACAATACAGCGTCGCTACAGCCATCACCTCTTTCTGGTCTGTTTGAATCTGTGCCTTTTCAATCCTTTTCAATCCTTTTCATAGATTCCTTGGACCTGCTACCAGCAGTTTGTGCGAGCAGTGCTTTGTTGATTCAACATGGCCTAGAGCCTAGATCCAAAGGCCAGAAGTACTCTTCAATGATTCAAGCCAACCTGCTTTGTGCCCTGTCCCACATGCAAATGCCCTTACCTGACGAGCCAACGAGAAGCCCGTGGAGCTCGCTCCTACACGTCAACAGCTTCACAGGCAACAGCTTGAGGACATCGAACAAACACCAACAAATGCTCCTATGTCAAATGTATATGTATGACATGCGTATGTAAATATATATATATACAGTATATATACATTCTATTCTAAAGATAATATATTATAGTGATATTAAAATCGGATGTTGTATTTCTCTACACCGTGCTTGAAGGTGCTTGAAGGTTCTTCCAGTGATTAAAAAATGTGATGTGAACTGTGAACCTGACTCAACAAAAAAAAAAAAACACGCTTCATCAAATTGCCCTGTTGAGCTGATGGGGAACGTTAAGCCATTTGAGTGAACTTTTTTAGCATGCATGCTTGTAATGTGTTTACGATGAAAATGAGCTTTGAAAACAAACCAAGCCTTGAGGTCTTGACATCTGAGGATGTCTGTGGGGCATTCCAACGCTCTGAATTCCACTCTTCACAATTCTTCACATCACTAAAGCACCACAGCAACTTCAAACCCACATGGCATCGTCGCACCTCCTATGGTGGAGTCAAGACCACCGTGAACACCCACAAGGGGTAGAGACTGGCGCAAGGTGCAAAGAAATGCAAAGAATCTCTTAGGCAAGGTGCGGGCATCTGTAAAGCGTTCAAAGTCGTGGACTGAAACAGTGAAACTCGTTGCAATGGGTTCCAAGATGTTTTTTCTGTGTGGAGTAATCTGTGAAAGGCCAGGATGAATGTCAGTGAATGGCTAAAGAGAGAATCAATCACAACCAGTTAAAGGCTGTCCTCAAGGCCCGTGTTCAAGGCCCATCTTTTCAAACAATTGCAAATGTGTTCAAGATGTTCTTACAATGTTCTGACAATGTTCTTAAGGCATTCAAGGCATTCAAGGCCCATCAGCACGTCGAGTCCTCGAGTGGTCACACGACGATAAATCGAGTCCCGGACCATGTGGCCAAGTGATCGCCGTGATGCGGAAAGGACACGACCACTGGCCTCAGATCCAAGCAGGCCATCCAGGCTGCCTCCGAATCCTTTGGAATCCTTCGGAATCGGGTGAGAAGTGGTCTGGAAGATTGTGGGACTCTCCACTCCTAGAAGAAAACAGACAGTTGCACGACCAACTCACCTCTCCGCCATGTTGATCACAGTCTGAGAAGACGACACAAGTCAGCGGCCTTTGAAACAATCCAAATATGAGTACAGGGCTGCTGCCTGTGGCAATTCAGTGATCACACCCGGCCCAGCACACAATTTTTCATGCAAGACCTGATTTTGCAGTGAAGCTGTTGATCCCGCTTATGAAATCCGATTGCTGCCATTTGAATCCATTTGAGACATGTTCAAAAGATTCACACCAGTTGTTGCAAGCGGTTTGATGATTTTGACGTTGTTCTTGATCTTTTAGACCAAGGAAACCAGTGTGGCCGTTGCAGTCAGTGACAGCAGTGCCTTCTTTCGCAGCAGAGCACCAACGTTTCGCGCGTCTTCCGCAGGGTCGGCTCGGCTGGGGCTGCTGTGTTTCTGAAAATGGGTGGTTTGCTAATGATGTGGTTTGCTAAAATCTGCTGTAATCTGTTGTGGTTTTGGAGTGATGCTACTGAGTTTGAGTGGGAAAAGGTGACTCATGTGATTCTTTGTACCTGAAATGGTCTCCGTTAAAACGACAAAAACACATAGGACACCACAGAAATTTTGCTCAGCACTTGAGGTCAGGGAGTCTTTCAACGAGGCTGGTCAGCAGTGGGTTTTTCTGGTCAAATCTGTGTGCTCCGTGTCAAGCTGGCTGTGCTAAACTGAATTTTAAGCATGTCTGCCTCAGCCGATCTGTACAGGGCCCTCCCTACGGAGAGGTTGCGGCTTTTTGAGCCTCAAGGCATTTGGCTTTGGAATTCCACCATGCAATCCACTGGAAATATAATATGGATTAATATGGAACTATTACTTAGATCTACTTAGCAGCACCTGGCCACTATGCAACCTTGCCTTGATCAATGCTTGGGAGCTAGTTTCATTTGGAGCAAACAGCACTGCCATTGAAGAACCGAGTGTGGATAACGTGTGGAAAAATAACCTGCTCTGACATTCAGTGAGGTGGAAATCGGTGGAAAGTCAAGAACTCGAGGTCTGTCCATTTTTCTGGCTCATGTGGTCGCGACAGTGGCAGCGTCGGCTGCGTGAGCCTCGTCGTATCAAAGACCCAATGAGGTGACGCACACACTGTCGGTAGATTCAGGACAAGTATGGAGGAGTGATCAAAGGAGTGACCAATGCATGACCAACAAATGACCAAAGTTTGACGCAATTTGAAACTGAAGAGAATGTGCTGGTTTGGAAAGGTTGGCAGGACACAATGATGCAGGCCCATGGTTTAGACATCTGTGAAGAACTCTCCTGTCAAGAGCAAATGACATGGCTTCAGGCAAGGGCAGTTTCAGAATCACAAGCACAACCACACCCCCAACCCTTGGGAAGCCACAAAAAATAATCAACGCTGTTGCAGCCTTGACTTTGATCCAGCGGAAGGTCAAATTGATTCGTTTGCCACAAGGCTGTGTGCAAGCAGGAACCTGAAACTGTAGTGACTGTAGTGACTGTAGTGTTTGCAAGAGCGGAATGCTCCTTTAGTGAGGACCAGCGAGCAAATGAACAAACAAACCGAGAACGCGTTGTCAAATGTTGTCAAACAAACCGAGAGGGTCGTCAATCCGAGTCAATCCCCCCTGAAGCCCCAAGTTACTGACGACTCTCCGAGTGATTCTGAGCATTGAACCGCGTGCTTGTAATGCTTTTGGAACAAACCTGGCGGTGGCATCGTAAAAGAAGGTGAGAATATCGACTTCATGTTGAAAAGGTGTGTGAAGCTCCTTTGAATAGTGAATTTCACTGAATTGAGTAGTGCTTTTGCTAACGAAGCCTGGAACATACTTGTCACAAACTTGAGGCAGCTTGGGACATCTGGCACTTGCCAAGAGTTATTCGTGAATGATCAGCACGAAAGTCAACGAGAGCTCGTCCTTCAATCTTTGCTGTTTCAAATTTTGCAACTTAAAAATAATGCCGTACTTTGTCTAGTTTTTACTCTTGGGCAAGTGGCTTATATAACTTTTTGAGACTCGAAACCATTCACATGACAGAAACCTTGCAGAGATAGGGCTGCAGTCCAAACAGCAACGACAAACCTTGACCCCGGCTGTGGCAGCTCGACCTCGACAATGTCCTCTTAGATCCCGTTTTGGTCGAGGGATTTTCACGCTTACGAAATCTTACCAGGCGGTTTCAGTGGGATGTCAGGCCTTCCATGGTTGCAACATCACCATCACCCAAAGACACAGTCCCTAGGGTCTCTGTCGTACCTGGCATAACGGCTCCAAGCACAAATACGCAGGAGGAGTTAGCAAAGACGTAATTTCATCATTCATTCCTGACTGACAAACACGTTGCCGGAATGAAACTGGCTTCTGGCTGCCTCGTTCTTGTTTAGCATTTCTAGATATTTCTAGCGTTGTTTGCAAGCCGCAACTTACAGAGTACACTTGGCAAGCTTCATAAGGCCCTCAATAATTTCTCATTCTCGTGGACCAGGTCCCACCAATGTGAGCTGTGCATTCCATGTGCTGTTCAAGAGTTAGCCGTGTTTCTGGCGTTAGAAGGCCTTGCAACCGCCAGCTGAAATCCCTTGCTGCACCCAAAGATAATGAGAGTATCCTGCATCGTGTGAAATCCAGGCTTGTGGAGTCCAAATGAGTACAGGGTGAGTATAGTATGTCAAACGATTGTTAAATGCTTTCAAGACAAATCTAGGCATGTCTAGCAAGTAAAACACTGCAAGAATCGAGCAAGTGAGCAAGTGCTCCACAAAATACAATGCCTTTAACATCTTCGTCCAATGCCTTTGTCTTTAGATTCTTTAGTCAACTTTTGTCTTTGTGGCCCTTTGAAACTGAAACGGTCTCAACTGTCTCAACCCTGAATGCGGCGATTCACGAAGTCTCACGAAGTCTCACGAAGTCTCCTTGTGTCTCCAGACAAGCCTTGGAACATCACCTCATCATCGGAATGCCAACCCACCTTGGCAACTTGGCAATTCTGGAAGCATCGAACAAAGAGAACAACCCCAGATCATCCTTATCAAAATGCTCAACCACGGCAAACACGGCAAAGAGTGATTAGTGTGGCAAGCTGTGTGGAAAATGTGTTATGCCACAAGACACAAAGGATGGCCATGGCCAAATCATCTCAATACTCACCATATCTCACCCTCCTTCAAAGCTTTAGTGTCCTAAGTCATCTTCAGACATCCACCGTGCAGTATTGCCCAAGAGACCTCGTTGCTCCCATCTTGGTAGATGTTCACATTGCAGGAGTTTGGAAAGTCGTCCTGATTTGCGAGCCAAGCACTTTATTCTTTAGAGCCGGTTCCTCAAGTTCTCCGATCTTCAACGAAAAGAGGGAGGGAGGGAGGGAGGGAGCGAGCGAGAGAGAGAGAGAGAGAGCGCTTATTAAAGTCGAATCCCTTCTAAAAGAGAGAAGTGTGCCTCTGTAATACCTGTAAGAAGAACGTGAGCAAATCTGAAATTATACAAAGAATGAAGAAATATAAAGAGTATGAAGAAAATATGAAAAAAAATCAAAGAATGGCGGAAAAAAACACACTGTCAGACTGTCAGATCAGGTCAACCCGTCGAATCTTGCGCCTCTGGGATGCCACAGACTTTGCAGAGCTCCTCCAGTAGCATCGCCAACTCGACCCGCAAATGTTGAAACAAACATTACGTTGCGTCCATAAGTTATATATTATATATATATATAGCTATAGCTATTATATATATATATATCATGCCTACATATATATATATATATATATTTATATTATAATATGATTATATAATATTGCATGATACTATATGATATTATATGATATTATATGATGTTATATGATGTTATATGATATTATATGATAGTATCTGATATTGTATGATATTACGTGATGTTGTATGATATTATATGATGTTATATGATGTTATATGACATTATATGATATTATATGATATTAGATTATATTAGATGATATTAGATGTGTACATGTTAATCTCAGACAGTCTTGCTAAACAACTTGTGTCAAACTGTTGTGTTCATTGCTGCACCAGCTGTATTGCTTATTATTTGAAATTGGTTTCAAGCCAGGTCAGTTCATAAATCGTTGAAAGCGTTGGGCTTGAAACAACATGCCGCAGTTTTGCTGGTGATTTCGAGCGTGGAATCAGAATGGTCACAATATGTCACAATCCTTCCGGATCTCCAACATGAAGTCGGGATAAACGACAGCCGGAAACCTCAGAAACAAGCAAATGATAGCAAATGTGTGACAGCGAAGATCTGATTGAAGAAATGCTGATGCCAAGGATTTTAATCCCTTTTACCTCCGTCAAGCTGTTCGGAAGCCTCATTTTCGCCGCCCGGGTGACCCAGACTCAAGCCCAGAGTACCGGTAAGGCACGTCTGCGCAGTCCTGCAGAAACAGTTCGGGAGGGGTGGAGCTGAGATGCAAAGTCATAGCGTGCATACCTTGAACATGTCTGACGATCTCTTTCTTTCCATGCTTCTCTTCACAACTCAAGTTTTCGCAGTGTATACTATATTCAAGTGTAAGCTGAGATTTCACAAACCAAACGCGAACTTGCATTGCTTGCTGAAAGCACACTTGATTTTGTTTGGCAACTCTTTTTCCAATACACTGCTTGTCTTGCAGCGACAATCTCCATGTTGGAAAGCAATGCTCCCAGCTGCGTTCTGCGTGCCTCGGAGACATACCAAATCACTTGTCGCGGCACGCCCGGAAGTTCAATCCATTCCCCCTGGCAGCAGGTGGACAAAACGGTGACGTACCTAGCCGGGATTTTTCTCAAAATGTCTGGTTGCAATACTGGTCCATTTGAGTCTATTTGAGTCTATTTGTGTTGTCACTGACATTGTGCACAGGAAAAAAGAGAAATGGAAAGAATGGTGTGGATTGCTGCCTGTGTGGGCTGTTGCGTGAAAAGTCTAGGGGATTCTTTGATTGGTCCGACCTTCCACAAATTACCTGCTCCTGACTTTGCTGTGACCGTCATGTGTCCGCAGAAAAAAATATGTTCTTTGCTTAGACTTCTCTCGTAGAGTTTGCCGAGATCGTCGAACCCCTGACCTCGGGTTCTTATAGGTCCCCCGCGTTTCCTGGGTTTCCCCCGCACGATTTCCCCAAGGTGACACAATATGACGCCATGATGCCTTTTCTACCAAGGAAGCCATCCATCGAGAGCAGGTCTCTTCAGAGAAGGCCCTGAAGTTCACCTCGGAGTTTCATCTGAGCGCTTTGTTTTGTCACTTTGTTTTGTCACTTTGTTTTGTCACTTCCATGTCACTTTATGTCTACACAGTCTATCTTGGCCTATGTCCATGATTTCAGACTTCAGACATGTTCTGTTTCACCATTTTGAGCGTCTCGAGTAGTCTCGAGACCATGTTGACGCTGGAAAATGCTGAAACTTTGAAAGCCCGCTGTTTTCAGCTGTCAGCTAAGAAGCCTCAGGCAATTCTCCGCATCCCCACGGTACTTGGATCCGGACACCAGCAAAGCTGCGGCGCTGTTCGTCCTGAATTCAGGCTTCCGAACAAAGTGTTCCGCATTGTTAACCACTTTGAGTTGCTTGTTCGCGGAAGTGCAGAAGATCTTTCATGCTTTGATGTTAGAATATTATTTTAGAGGCATCCTACGAGCACAAGGACTGTTTGGTAATCGTAAACGTGTTTCAAGAGGTCTGAGAACAAATTGTCTGCACATTAGACTCTGTAGGCATCCTTCCATGTTGCAAACCACGCCTGAACAGGATATTGCCAATCCCATGGCACTGGAGACCTAGGCAAAGTGCTGTCCGCTCTGCCACAACTCTGAGGCCTAGCATGCAATCACCCAAGAGCTACTTGATATTACTTGATACATCAATTGTCATCAATTTACCCTTGATAGAGCTACTTTGTGCTACTTAGTGCTACTTGGTTTCAAGAGCTACTTGGACTCCAGCCAAGCGAGTCAAAAAAGGTGCCAGATAGATGCCCGACTCCAGCTACACGCTGGTTGCATGATGTTTCTCCAAGGTTGAATGGATTTGCGTTCGCTATGCTCTTGTTTCAGAAGGTAAACTGGCAATCCTGTAACACATTACCAAAAGAAGCAAGGTCCATTCCCTGTGACTAGAGACTCTGAGGCTGTGACATCTCACCAAGCAGCTGCAAAGGAACCTCCAAGCCCTAAACTAATCAGGTGCAAAGTTAAGGCACGAACATCCATCAGTCAAGAGTAGCACGATGCAGCACGAACATTTTGAAAATTAGAGTGGGATGCACGTTGGCTCTTGGAGAACACTTCATCAAAATGTCGTAACTGCTGATCAACAAGAACAAGCACCAGCCGGTATTGAAACACATAAAGTTTGACTCTGGATGTAAAGTACCACAAAAAAAATTGACTGCACCTCCGCCCTCGAGGACTCCTTGAAGCATTGAGACCTGGCGAATTTCGACTGTTTTCCTACGAAATCCACTGAGTTCTCTCGTGAGTGATGAGTAAAATTGAAGAACGAAAGAAAGATAGATGTGTGAACGTGTGTGAAGCATCTTTCCAGGACATGCAACCGCTGGTCATAGACAGCTTATTTCTAGATTGCAACTATGTACAAAAAGACAGAAGATGTCTTATTCAAAGAGCTGCTCAGGAACTGCCAGAAGAATTTCCCCCGCAGGTGAGATCATCTAGTTAGTGAATGTTGCGTAGTGGTATCTAGTGCATATATGAATTATATGAAACACCATGTGTTGGCCTCGCGCGGATGATCTGCTCCGCTGCTCCTTGAAATCGCAAGCTCAAAATACACAGTGACACTCAATTCGCTGGACCCCCAGATAGCTCTGGTCCCATGTGACAAGTCTCAACACGACTCAGCACTCACTCGAGGAGCCCATCTATACAACATGCGACTTGATGTCATGGTATGCCAAGTTTCCCCTGCGCAGTTTTGCATGGTGTCCCTGGGTGTCCCTCGCCGTTTGGATCCAGACGGGATGCCACGACTTCTGCACGTTCACCACCACGATTCTTCTGGTCCTTTGCAGACTTAGTTTTCAGGAACTCACGACAAAGAATAAGAATCAAAAACAGAGAGACCTGAATAGTCCGAAGTTAGCAAAAAAAGAATTGGTTCGGTAGGAGCAGACATGGAGTATCATGGAGTGCTCCTATACTCTGCTCCAAGGCCCGTATCAAAATGGAACGAGAAGAGCAGAAAAGTTTTCCGGTCATTTGCGGTTTTAAATGGTGTTGTATACTGCATACTTGTATATTACAAGCAATCGCAAGGAGCTGAGAATTAACTCCAGGTTCCCAGTCCACAACTTGCCATCCACTTTGCAGCAGCAAGGAAACCACCTCTGTGTTCAGCTGTGAGAAGGGATACAAACGGGCAGTACTTCAATTCACATTCAACAGCTTTCAGCATAATTGACTTGGCTACCTTCTTCTAGCAGTGTGGTTTGTTTGCATTGAGTTTGCGTTGAGATTGAGATCATGCATTCCCCATCAATTCTCATCGATTCCCATGAACTCGTACCTGCCCAGACTTTTGGATCGCGTTCAGCTCGACGCGTTTGTGCGTCGACGCATGACATGGTGGCGCTTTGTCCGACTCTGTGCCCAAGCACTGAGCTTAGAGCGTCTGCTTCTGCATCATAAAGCGACAGAACAAGTTAGAGAATAAGTCTTCGTCAAAAATCAAACACACGACATAATTTGCAAAGACGTTCAACATGATGGCATTTACACCACTGCTTGTAGTGTTCATCCACACTACACATCACTTAAATTGTACACTCAGTGCTATTCAGTGCACATCACACCATGGAAGGCTCACACTCGGGTTTCACAACAATTTCCACGTCTTCAAGGTCTTCCTCTTCATCGATGAGGTAGGTGTCCTGCGCAGAGATTCTGCCGAAGCCATGACATCTGCGTGCACAGACACGTGGTATGACATGTGGTACGACAGTACGACATGTGGTGAATATAGAAATCATTCGAAATCCATGGACCAGAGCAAACTTGGGACAGGACAGGTGATCAGCCTCCACTTCCTCTCCATGCGGGTTCACTGGCCGTGGCATTTGGCGGGAGCTAATGAATACGTCCAAAATTTGCCTCGCCAGCTCTCAAGGCAAAGCCGTTCCAGTCAGATCTACCCTAAATACTAAAAGATACTAAAAGAACATGATGCAAAGGGTGAAGATAGAGGCTCTTGACACCTTAATTGCCAAACTAGGCACCAAACCCGAACGAAAGTGGAAGAGAAAAAAACAACGGCATCTCTTATGCGTTAGATCTTCACTTTTTTAGATTAGTACAATCTCTATAAGAAAGGCTCGAATGCAGTGACTCCACGCACTTCAAGTCCCAGGGACACGACTCGATCCTCCGCCTCAAAGCTCTCGGCATCTTCCTCAGCCACTCCATCATTTTGAGAGTTGCCCAGCTTCATCCAAGGTTTTCGGTACTGTTTTGATAATTACAATATATATATATATATATAATTGCATATAATTACCATTACTTACCAAGACCATGTCCATGACCATTATTTTCCATGATACTTTGATGAATGAGGCAATCAGCCCTTTGAGATCGGTGGTGTGAACTCCATTGAGTCACTCAGTCTCAACATGTGTTTAAGACTAAGTTTGCAGTCCTCTCTTACTCTCAAACTGTTTGATGCATGTATGGCATGGAAATCTGCATCCACCCAAACCCATGAGACCACATATGCAAGCCACGTCTACCACAAATGTCCTTTCGCCCTCCTCGCGAGCAGGGTGGAGTGAGCAGATTGAAAACATCTCACCTATCAGAGCCTCAAGTGACAAATTGCCAAGTGCTATTCAAACACTGTGACAGACTGTGACACTATTCCGATCTATTCCGAGTGTTTAGTTTTCAGAAAAGAACTGCGAAAAACACAGCGCTGCAAGACAGTCCTCCCAGGTGCACAAAGGTTGTAACTGTCCATCAGCATCCACTACAGCTAATCCCAACCCATTGGCGTCGGTTCCAGCTGGCCTTGGGGGCCAGGAAAACCCAAGGCATGAATCGGCACAAAGTCATCTGATGTCGTCGGAAGTCATCTGAAGTCCTGTGTCATCTACGTCATATTCCTTGAGAAACAAAGTGGACAACATTGGGGAGTGGGTGCGGAATTAATTTGTCTTTTTTGGGTGTTTTGTTTTTTTCTTTTTGGTCTAGAGGTTGCGGTCCTTCATTTTTCATTGGCGTTCATCGATTTTTCCATGGTTTTTGTTGATTGTTCCATCTTGTTTTATCGATTCCATGTTTGTCATCATTTTTTCCATGGTGTTCATTGGTTTTTCCGTGTGTTTCATCGATTGTTCCATGCATTTTATCAATTTGTGCCTGGTTTTCATCAGTTTGTCCATGTTCTTTATCGATGTTGTTTCCATTATGTTCGTCGGTTTTTCCATAGTGTTCATCGTTTTTCCGTATTTTGTGCATTGTTTTTGCATGATGTTCATCGATTTCTATGGGTTTCATCGGGTGTTTCCATGGTTTGCATCGAGTGGTTCCATAGGTTTCATCGAGTGATTCCATTGTTTTCATCAATGTTTCCATGGTGTTTCTTGACTTTCTCGATAGCGGTCATTGATTTATTGATGGTTTTTCCATGGGGTTTCATCGATGTTTGTGTGGTGTTCATTGTTTTTTTCCATCCTTTGTAATATCATGTATACCAAACCGGCGCGCACCAGTGCGGAAGTTTGGAAAATAGGAAATGACTATAGAAAGGAGCAAGCGTATAGGAATGGTTTGTGAGCTGGGACACATGAGATGAAGTTTGCAGCGAAGGAAAGTTGCAATGAATGCATGCATGAATAAATGAATGAATGAACGAACGAACGAATGAATGATTGAATGACAAGGTTACACGATGGGTCGTTGACATTATGATGTGGTTAACATAATGTCGGAACGCCTCCATTTTTGCGAATTTTCAACTACAAATCGACTCTTGCTATAGTCGGGTGCACATTTTGCCGATCTCTTCCAAAAGGTGTTTGTGAGCATGCCAATTTTGTACGTTTTTTAAATGCAGTCCAGCTCTTGGTCTCGCGCGCATTTTGCCGACCTCCTCTTCCAAAAGTGCCCCCAGCATGCCAGTCTTATTTCACGATAAAGTGCTCCGAGCATGCCAATTTTTACGATTTTTATACGAAGCCGAGTTCTCCCTACAGTCTCATGCATGTTTTGCCGCTCCTCCTCCAAAAATTATCCAGAGGCACTTTGCCGGCCTCATCTTCCAAACGGTTGCCCGAGCACGCCAGTGTTTTACGATTTTTTATACGAAATCGACCTCTCGCCACAGTCCTGTCCACTTTTTGTCGACAACTTTGCCAGATCGAGCCCCGCAACTGCAGAAACAGAGACCCTCCTTCGGCGACCGCAGGAGCCACATTACCCGAAAAGACACAGGGTTTCATGCCCGAGAGTGTTTGCACCCGTGAATTCACGCGTCCCCGAACTGTTACTCTTCTCTACTGCTCCCACACGCGAACTGCTCTGGCTCACTTTGTTGTTGACATGATGATGCTCACATGAGGATGACATGGTGACAAGACTGCCCCTGGACATTCGTCTGTAACTCGGAAGTTTTAGAACTAAACTTCCTTTGATAATTGTGCATTTATATATATATGTATATGTATATGTGTATATATATATACAGAGAGAGAGAGAGAAAGGGATTATAATCATATTATATCATGTATATATTTAAATATAGATTATATTATATATATTATTACCTATTCTGTATTCATAGTATTTTTTTATATATATATAGAGTAGTGTATTTACAGGTGTGCAAGTTTGGATTTGGAGATAAGAAAGCGGGAGGGGGGGAATGGGGGGAGGAAACATGGACCTTGTGAATATGTAGAATGCAGGTTGAGGCAAAACCCTGTTGGGTGCAAATAGTTTCATGGGATGTTGTCATATTTGTCATAGCGCTGGTTAAGATATCTCCATGGTTTTCACTGGTTTTTCCATGTGTTTCATCGATGTTCCATGAATTTCATCAATTTCTCCATGGTGTTCATCGGTTTGTCCATGTGTTCATCGATTTTTCCATGATTTTCAACGATGAAAACCAGGAGAAACTGATGAAAGCCATGGAAAAATCGATGAAAAACATGGAAAAGCCGATGAAAACCTTGGAGAAATTGATGAAATTCATTGAAAAATCGATGACCGCCTTGGGAAAAAAGTGAAAACCATCAAGAGATCGAAGGCAAAAACAAATGCCAAAAGCCAAAAACCAAAAGCCAAGCCTCCGGGCCAAAAAAATAATATATATCGAAAAAAAAAGAATTCCCAAATTAAATTGCCCTCCCTCAGGAGTTATGTGTCTAGGTTTTCCTGGCTGGGCATCAGAACCAGCTCATGGCGGGGAGGGAACAAAAAGCAATCCTTTACAAAATTACAAAGCTTGTGAGACTAGCAAGTCACAGGCACAGTCAACTTGTGCAATGCATCCCGTATCATGGCCACATGGGCCACACACACATGGTGGTCATGCAAACAAGCGGCTTTTGATACTTCACAACCCACCCTTCGATGAGGCTTTCAGGAACACTACGACGCGAAGGCAGACCTGCAGAGATGCCAGACATGCTTGAGCAACGTCCAGTTGCAGATTCTCAATTACTAAAAGAATATGTCTCTGCAATTCCCTTCCGAAAAAAGCCAGTAGAACTGAATGCGGAAAGGCCAATATGGTCGGTAGACGTATGTAGATGTATGTGGTGAGTCTTGCATCCAGCATGTTGAAAAACAATACAATATTACTATTGCGCTGCTTATTCAACTACCCAAACAGATCACGTGTGCGGGCTTGGCTGCACATTGAATAAAACGACTGCATATCATGGCGTTGTGATTTCTCCAACCACGAGTCATTTTCAATACCTTCAAAAAGGAATGTTGCTTCTCACACGGAAAGCCATTCCAGGAGTCGCCTCCTCTTCGCTGCCTGGCTGCAAGACCAGCCAGAAGCGACCAATGCCAAGCCTGCCTGGACCAGCCTGAAGAGCAGGAGCTGTTTTTGTTCTTTCATGTTGCAGTGTCAGCTCCTGCTGATGACTATGCAGCAGTCATATTCAGGCGGCTTGGGCAAACCCTGCTAGTTTGCAATTAGCACCTACAGCAGAAGCAGCCCCAGTCATTCGTGGATTTCACAGGAGTTAGCAGGGAGTGCCAAGACAGCTCCATATCTTGACAGGGTCCTTAAGGATTCAAAGGAATGTGTCCGTTTGGACCGTACATACACTGTCAATTGAATCGAGTGATTTGGATGAAGTCATGCACTTGGGGAATTTATGCTGTAATTAATCCCTTAAGCCTTAATCGCATGTTTGAAGACAGACATCTAATCTTTACAACTCTGGAGTTTTCACAGAAGTTGCTTGGACCTACAGGTAGGTTTGGCTTGTCCTAACAGAATCTGGAAGTTGGCTTGAGGCACGCCACCACGATATGAACCTAAACCAGTCAGTTGGTTTGTGTATGGACTGGCCCCAGGGAATAAACACCCGCATTCAGTCAATTCATGATCTTCTATGCCGTATTGAAATGTGATCACCTAGAGGTTCCACCATTCAGACCTTCACAGAAGAAATCTGAAACCTGGGTGTTGCAAGCGTCCGGTTTCTCAATGTAATGTATCTCAATGTAAATATTTCCCTGGGTGACTTTCCAAAATTCTCAAAGGCACTACCAAGTCACTACCAGAGGTTCCAGTGTCCCTCGGTTTGGTGAGCACCGCAGGCAGATTGGAGGAGCTTTCACTGATCCACCCTGGAGCCTAGGCAATGTCAAGGCTGGAAAAACCACAACCAATACCATCAATTCAAGTGAGCCATGAGACATTGCCCAAATGGACCCCTCCCCCAGGCGATCCCATGCCATTATACAGTACAGGTTAGTTCATAGGCATCCCCATTCTGGGTTGCGATTATTCCCAATGAACCCAGTAGTATAACCCACTTTCAATAAGCAATCAACAGGGATCCTATGCTTAATGGCTCGAGTAGAATTCCGTTGCTTATTTTTGGAGCTACACTGCTGCCACCCGCAAAGACCAACAAACCAGCAAATCACAAAACCTTGCAAGTAGCAAGCTCCAAGGATACTTTATGAGTACTTGAAATGTATGTGCTTTGGTGAATCTACGTCAATCTTGAAGTCCTTGGAGGATGAAAGGTGCTGCACTGCATTTTGGCTGAGATCCATCAGAAGCCTTTGAGTGCCACCATGTGCCACCATGTGCCACCAGCTAAGACTAGCGGCATGCAAGCAGATTGATGGGCTTCGCACAATCATGGCGACCCAGAAGCGACCATGGAAGAATTTAAACCATGCACCAAACTAGCAGACTTTGTTTGCCAGTAGTCACTAATTCGCAGACCCCAAATTGACTGGCAAATAAGGTTGAGAATCATTGGCTTTTCTTGCAAACTGCCAAAGCACTAGGACATCTCTCCTTACAGTATCTCCAACAATGAAATGCTTCAGGAGCGGTAATTATTCAGTTTTGCACAGTACAGAGCAGGCAGTAACATTCAGCGTTCCATCAGTGACAGGCCTTTTAAAACTATGTAGTCCGAGTCTCAGGTATCGCTTTGTACCGAGACAGGCTGAAGCCAAAGGTACATTTCGGCCATGCATGGAAAAGGAACTTGTTTGAGCAGGAAAGCAAAATTCACCGCCTATACACATGAGGAAAGCAGCCCACGTGCAAAGACACCACAACTTCGGATGCTCCACTTTCAAAATCCGTCAATTATGTTTTTCCTATGGCACTACAATCTTTGCACGAGCTTTGCAAGGGCTTTGTGTAATCTTTGCGTAACCTTTGTGTAGCTTTGCATCGTTGCTTCGGCCTCCTTGGCAACCTCTGGTTGAGCTGCGCAGCGGCTGCTCTGCGATGCCGCCAGGTGGAAGAGAGTATTGTCTCAGTTGCGAAGATCTGGGCCATGGCAAGCCGGGATCTCGCAGGATTGCCACAGGGGGGCCACGTGCAAACATTCAAACAGATGTGCACAACATGACGCAAATGACTAGTGATTGGTGTGTTCAAGTTTGCCTCGAAGATGATGAAGCTGGATAGACTTCAAGACAAATGCATTCACGGGTCTCAAATAAATATGTCATATGATACATACGTACACCGTATACATGTGTATATGATATATATATATATGTGTGTAATATAAAGTATGTATACATACATATTACGAGCCTTAAGGTCTGGAGGAAATAGCGACCGAACACAAGTGAAACACAAAGCACTTCGTTGATTTTGAGGGCTAAAGCTGAGAATCCATGCCATCTTCATCGATCAAAGCCTCAGATTGAACCGGTCCGCCAAAAGTATTGAAAGCTCAATACATTGCAAGATATTTGAAAGAGGACTCCTCGAAGTGAAAAAGGTAACATTGAGATTGAATGCCTTGTACTCAGAAAGGCCAATCCCGCTGCAAACCAGAGATTGTTCTTTGCCTGGAACCCAGGCATTTGTGAACTTTCTTTCTCTTGAAAAAGCTTTGGCGGAGACGACTACTATGACTAATATGCCCATGATTCATGATAGCTTTGTGAAAGACTTTTTGAAAGTAATGAGGTTTGTACATGGTCTGAGCTGCGTTTGGGAACCTTCGCTACACCTTCACGTCTGCACCAAGTCTAGAGATCTGCAGCATCTGCAACTCAGCAGCTGCCCCATGAGGCCAGCGGCCAAGCAAGCGTCGCAGCTCGTCGACCTCGAGAATGAAGACAGATGACCCACGTTGAAAAACAACTGAAACAGACTGAAACAGACTGAAACATGTTAGGAATGTTAAGAAAACATGACAAGATGCCCAGATGCCTTTAAGATGACGTCATGACCAGCATTGCGACAACACTACGACAACTCGTTTCCTAAGATTGAAAAACATTCCAAGGGAAGACAGAGATGCTAGGCTTTCTCCATAGACTTTTCGATCCTATTGTGACAAAAGTCCAAATTCGGCTTTGTTTTCCAGTTCGCACTGGCCAAAAGTCTCACGGAATCTGCTGGATGCTGGATGTTGCTTTGGAATTTCCATCATCCATCTAGTAATCGATATACTAAAAAATGGTACAATGTCAGTAAGGATTCCCCATGAAGCACCAGCAGCCACCTGTGTCTACCACTCCTCAATCGATGTCCATGGTATTTTGATGGATTTTGACGGTGACTATGTTGAAAAACTTGGGTTGTGTAAACCAGTATCGCCCAGTATCGCGCTCCAAAACCTCAAAGCTGATTATGGAACCCGCTGGCCCGTGTAACTTTGGCAATCGTTTGAGAAGATATGCGTGAACTGCTCTGCTCTCCGGTGGCCTCAAAGATGTACTGCGCTTCAATGTTACATTGTAGATGGCCACATCCAATTGAAACAGGATCACAGTGGAAGGTCTCTATCCGCAAGAGCGACCTGTCCATCTGCCAGGATTGCAGCAAATGCTTTATCACTGGCCCGAACCTGCTTCCACCAAAACAACTGTCCCAAGTTACAACTGATCAGTGAGATAGAATCGCAGCAAATGCATAATCAGCGGCCTGGACATGCTGTAAACTCCTCAAACAATCTCGGACAGCGGAGCTGTCACCACCACGATGTGCGGTTCTCAAGGCAACATCAATCCAGATCCATCTTCCAAGACTGCAGCGGAAGCTAACTGTGTGACCTGAACAAAATGCACACTGCTACCTAATCTTGGACGGCAGAGATGTCCGGGCCAGACACTCCCTCGCCCCATGTACCATGAGACCCAACAGCCAGGAAAGCAGCGAATGCCTCACCTAGGGGGCATGAGTTACGGTGCGCCACAAGTTTATGAGCTGATCTTGAACTTTGGAGCTGTGCCCACCACAATCTGGATTGCCAGCCGATTCATCGGCCAGGATGGCAGCAAATGCAAAGTCGTTGCCGTGAAACTGTTGCACACCCTTGAGCTGATCCTGGAGCCCGGAGTCACCACCACAAGTTTCATCACTTCAGGTGACGACGGGGTTGCTTCCACAGAACCACAGAGCAAAGGCTCCTTGCATTGCTCCTAACTGTTTTAACTGCAGCAATCTTTAAAATCCCCAGCTTTGAAGTGGGGAATCAACAAGCCGCTCAGCGAAGCAAGGTTGAGCTGAAGCATCCTTGGGGAAGCACGTCTGTAGTTACCGCGTCGGGGAAGTGATTCAAAAAAAATTGGATGGTTAGTACAAATGATCCATGTGTTTGTCCTTTTCAAAACAAACTTGTGGTTGTCTGCTTGCAATGACCCAGATTCAAACACCATTCCGAGCTGATCACAAAAAAAAACTAGATAATTGATCTCTGTGCTTGTCTGAAAACAGTATTAAATTTGCAAGTTCGAGCCAAGGCGCTGGTGCAACATCCAGGGTTGATGTTTTTGTCATGAAGACAGTTGGAATGCCCGGAGTTCATAAAGCCATTCTATGGATATATGTATATACAATCTATATCTTGGTCCATGTTCAACTCCAACCCTAGGATTTGAATTTCCAGTTTCGATTTACCAGTAGTACCGCACAAGGCGGTGGCGGAAGTTTCAAAAATAGGAAACCTATAGGAGAAGTTGGTTGTTGTGAATCAGGGATGGCAGAGCGAAGCCACTGATTGACCGAAATGTGGTTGGAGTTGTGTTTGCTGGAATGGTTGCAATGGTTGCAGTGGTCACCTCACCCACAACTGCTGGATGTAGTGTGATGTACTGCAACTGTAGTTGTAGTTGTAGCGTAGTGGAGTTGTAGTTGTGGTGTAATGTAATTAGTGTAGTGTAGTTGCAGTCATATAGTTGTAGCTGTAGTTGTTTTGTAGTTGTAGTTGTAGTTGTTGTAGTTGTAGTTGTTGTGTGGTTGTAGTTGTTGTGTAGTGTAGTAGTAGTAGTAGTAGTAGTAGGTAGTAGGTAGTAGGTAGTAGGTAGTAGGTAGTAGGTAGTAGGTAGTAGGTAGTAGGTAGTAGGTAGTAGGTAGTAGGTAGTAGGTAGTAGGTAGTAGGTACTAGGTACTAGGTACTAGGTACTAGGTAGTAGGTAGTAGGTAGTAGGTAGTAGGTACTAGGTACTAGGTACTAGGTACTAGGTACTAGGTACTAGGTACTAGGTACTAGGTACTAGGTACTAGGTACTAGGTACTAGGTACTAGGGACTAGGTACTAGGTACTAGGTACTAGGTACTAGGTACTAGGTACTAGGTACTAGGTACTAGGTACTAGGTACTAGGTACTAGGTACTAGGTACTAGGTACTAGGTACTAGGTACTAGGTACTAGGTACTAGGTAGTAGGTAGTAGGTAGTAGGTAGTAGGTAGTAGGTAGTAGGTAGTAGGTAGTAGGTAGTAGGTAGTAGGTAGTAGTAGTAGTAGGTAGTAAGTAGTAGTAGTAGTAGTAGGTAGTAGTAGGTAGTAGTAGGTAGTAGTAGGTAGTAGTAGGTAGTAGTAGGTAGTAGTAGGTAGTAGTAGGTAGTAGTAGGTAGTAGTAGGTAGTAGTAGGTAGTAGTAGGTAGTAGTAGGTAGTAGTAGGTAGTAGTAGTAGGTAGTAGTAGGTAGTAGTAGGTAGTAGTAGGTAGTAGTAGGTAGTAGTAGGTAGGTAGTAGGTAGGTAGTAGTAGTAGTAGTAGTAGTAGTAGTAGGTAGTAGTAGGTAGTAGTAGGTAGTAGTAGGTAGTAGTAGTAGTAGTAGTAGTAGTAGTAGTAGTAGTAGTAGTAGTAGTAGTAGTAGTAGTAGTAGTAGTGGTAGTAGTGGTAGTAGTAGTAGTAGTAGTAAGTAGTAGTAGGTAGTAGTAGTTAGTAGTAGGTAGTAGTAGTAAGTAGTAGGTAGTAGTAGTAGTAGTAGTAGTAGCAGCAGGAGTAGTAGTAGTAGTAGTAGTAGTAGCTGCAGGAGTAGTAGTAGTAGCTGCAGGAGTAGTAGTAGTAGTAGTAATAGTAGTAGTAGTAGTAGTAGAAGCAGTAGTAGTAGTAGTAGTAGTAGTAGTAGAAGCAGTAGTAGTAGTCGTCGTCGTAGTAGTAGTAGGAGTAGTAGGAGTAGTAGTAGTAGTAGTAGTAGTAGTAGTAGTCGTCGTAGTAGTAGTAGTAGTCGTAGTAGTCGTAGTAGTCGTAGTAGTCGTAGTAGTCGTAGTAGTCGTAGTAGTCGTAGTAGTCGTAGGAGTCGTAGTAGTCGTAGTAGTCGTAGTAGTCGTAGTAGTAGTAGTAGTCGTCGTAGCAGTAGCAGTCGTAGCAGTGGTAGCAGTGGTAGCAGTGGTAGCAGTGGTAGCAGTAGTAGTGATAGTAGTAGTAGTAGTGGTGGTAGTGGTGGTGGTAGTAGTAGTAGTCGTCGTCGTCGTCGTAGTCGTAGTCGTAGTCGTAGTCGTAGTCGTAGTCGTCGTCGTCGTAGTAGTAGTAGTAGTAGTAGTAGTCGTAGTAGTAGTCGTAGTAGTAGTCGTCGTAGTAGGTAGTAAGTAGTAGTAAGTAGAAGTAAGTAGTAGTAAGTAGTAGTAAGTAGTAGTAAGTAGTAGTAAGTAGTAGTAAGTAGTAGTAAGTAGCAGTAAGTAGTTTTAAGTAGTACGTAGTAGTAAGTAGTAGTAAGTAGTAGTAAGTAGTAGTAAGTAGTAGTAAGTAGTAGTAAGTAGTAGTAAGTAGCAGTAAGTAGTTTTAAGTAGTACGTAGTAGTAAGTAGCAGTAAGTAGTGTAGTGTAGTGTAATTACTGTACTGTAGCGTAGTATATTTGTTTTTGTAGCTGTAGCAGTAGTGTAGTGTAGTGATAGTGATACTTGCAGTTGTAGTTGTTCATCAATCTATCTTTCTGCAAGCTTGAAAACGAAGCTATTCTGCGAGACTTCCTGAGTTTTAACTTGACAACATCAAAAATGCAGCAATTCTGCAAGACTTCCGCACTTTTTGAGCTTGACAACGTTAAAAACGAAGCTGTTCTGCGAGACATCCTCAATTTTCGGAGTTGCCAACATCAAAAACGAAGCAGTTCTGCGAGACTTCCTTCCAAAATGAAAAGTTGAGTGCAGAGCTGACGGCCTCGTACCAATGCATCTTGCGATTTTTCCATTCCATCTGTCTAAAGTATTGCGCTTGCCACGAAAAAATGAGGCCAGGTCATACGAAATGCTGCACCTGTCAAGCAAAATCATCTTAGCAAACCTAAAGATCTGATGCTCCAAAATGCAACCCGCAATGTGCTTCGCGCCGCAACGCCATGCAAGTTTTCATCTTCATACGGCCAGATGGCTCCGCACCGGCCGCTTTAGCAAGCCTGCTTTTCGACCATCCGGAGGCACAAACCATCGGGAAAAAAAAAGATTCGCGACTTTTCTACCTTTTCGCGCACCTGCATCTTCTTTCTTCTGACTCGACTCTTTCTCTTCTCTGATCTTCTTTCTTCTTCTCTTCTCTTCACTGACTCTTCCCACCTCTACTTTTCCATCTGTCCATATTGTTGGACGGTTGACTTCTAAACTTCCTTCGAAAAAATGTATGTATGTATGTATGTCTGTATGTATGCATGTATGTATGTATGCATGAATGCATGCATGTTATGTATGTATGTATGCATGCATGCATGTATGTATGTGTGTGTACTTGTATATGTATTTGTAACTTTATATGTATACGTACATGTACATGTAAGTGTAGATGTAAATGTATACGTATATGTATGCAAGTATGTAAGTATGTTTGTTTGTAAGTATGTATGTATGTATGTAATGTAATGTAATGAAGTGTAGTGTAATGTAATGTAAAGTAACTTAATGTATCTATGTATGTATGAATGTTTGTAGTGAATGTAATGTATGTAATGTATGTATTTAATGTAATGTAACGTAAAAATGTAATGTAATAATTTGATGTGATGTAATGTAATTATGAAAGTATGTAAGTATGTATGCATGTATGTATGAATGTAATTGTATGTAATTATCTGTAACTGTATGTACTTGTATGTAATTCTATGTATGCACGCAATTGTATGAATGTAATTGTGTGTATGTACGTATGTATGTATGTATGTATGTATGTATGTATGTATGTGTGTATGTGTGTATGTGTCTATGTATGTATGTATGTATGTATGTAATTGTATGTAATTATCTGTAATTGTATGTAGTTGTATGTATTTGTATGCATGCACGCAATTGTATGTATGTAATTGTATGTAATTGTATGTAATTGTATGTAATTGTGTGTATGTATGTATGTATGTATGTATGTATGTATGTATGTATGTGTGTATGTGTGTATGGGTGTATGTGTGTATGTGTGTATGTGTGTATGTGTGTGTGTGGACCATCTGAAAAGATGTAAAACTTCTAACTTACTTGATGATGTGCTTCAATGGTTTTCCAATTTGACATCGCCTCTTTGGCTTTTTCATTTGATTTTCCAACAACAGCAGGGGGGCAAGGCCTTCAGTGACTACCTTGCCCAACGAAGCTATGTCACTGAAGGGGAAGCAACTGGGGACGCCCAGATGTGTACCTGCAGATAGTTTTTAACTGTTGAACACGCTGTCCACTACGTTGTTACAGTTTCAGCGGCAGAATTCTTCTACACTGTTTCTCACGCCTGATCATTCACCATCTCCTGTCAGGTTTACTGGAGTGTTTTTTGCACGTACGATGCATTCCACATCAGTAATTCGATAAGATGTTTCTGAGCAAGTGTGTCACTCATGCCGAATTCCGACAAGGTGGTATGAGCCCTTCGGGGAAAGCCTTTCTAGGCTAACAGTTGACAGTAAAACGATCTCTGAATTTACACTTTTGAATTAGTAATTCGTCTAAGTAAAGTGAAACAGCCGTTCACTTTTCAGGTTTCACTCTGTCGGTCGGGTGAGTGTTGAAACTGCTTGCCGCAGTACTGGGCATCGCCTTCTCCATTTTCACCATGTTCTGCATAGCTGGAAGCCGCGACAACATCCGTTTTTCAATGATGCCCAAGAGAGTACGGAGCTCGACATTTTCACATGACATGTTACCATGTGAAGGCTACAGGACATGCTTTCCAGGTTTGGCCACTTCCTTTTTGGTTTCTCGGTGAGGTTGAAATTGTGCACGTAATTCAGGGGTTGAACACGTAAGCTGTCCAGAGGGTTGTGACTTGATCTCTGGCCATTGAGCCTAACGAGGGGAAAACTGCACGTCTTCGTGGATGCATCTGGTTTGAACTAGGTTGTTTTTCAATCCAATCGCCTGACAGTGCTGCCATGTTTCCTGGACGTTTTCCCAACGTCCCTGAGTCAATGTGGAATTTTGGATGGACCCCACCAACGATGGGACTTCAAGGTCAATTTTGCGTAGGTGATGTAATGAACCAGCAGTCTCAGGTTCAGTCTCAAGCTCAGACTCAGGCACAACTTGCTCACCTCAGGGAGCAAAAATCCCATCCTTAACCAACAACTGGCGTCTCAAGCTCAATCCCATTTCCAACACCTTCAACAGCTCCTCCCATTTCATCAGCCGGCATCCACTCCACCTCCAACCCAGTCCACATCCCAAGCTCCAGAACCACCAACTCCGGTGGCACCTACATCAAACCACCTGATCGCAATCAGTGCTTGTGGATTCGATGGTGTGCATTCCATTATGTGCTTCCATTCTGTTCGTTCTGCCTGCTGGCAATCACACCTCCACCTGCCGGCCATCACCGAGTTGCGCTTTCTATTTCTGCACCAGTGAACAAGAATCACTGTGCATTCCACCCATCAGCCATCACCATCGCAATCAGTGCTTGTGCGTTCCAGTCTGTGCATTCCACCCACCGGCAATCCACCGTTGCAATATGTTGCAATCAGTGCGTGTGTGTCCAGCATCTGCGTCAGCAACCGCAGTTCACTGTGTGTTCCACCTGCCACAATCAGAACGTGTGCTTTCTATTTCTACACCAGTGAACGAAAATCATTTTTGCAGTCCACGCAATCGCCAACCTGATCGCAATCAGTACTTGTAGATTCCATGGTGTGCATTCCATTATGTGCTTCCATTCTGTTCGTTCTGCCTGCTGGCAATCACACCAATGCAATCAGGGCCTTTGTGTCCTACGCCCGTGTCAGAAACCACAATTCAAAGTGTGCTCCACCTGTCGGCCATCAGCGAGTTGCGTTTTCTCTTTCTGCACCAGTGAGCAAGAATCACTGTGCATTCCACCCATCAGCCATCACCATCGCAGCCAGTGCTTGTGCGTTCCAGTCTGTGCAATCCACCCACCGGCAATCCACCGTTGCAATCAGTGCGTGTGTGTCCAACGTCCGCGTCAGCAACCACAGTTCACTGTGCATTCCACCTGCCACAATCAGAACTTGTGCTTTCTATTTCTACACCAGTGAACGAAAATCATTTTTGCAGTCCACACAATCGCCAACCTGATCGCAATCAGTGCTTGTGGATTCCATGGTGTGCATTCCATTATGTGCTTCCATTCTGTTCGTTCTGCCTGCTGGCAGCCACACCAATGCAATCAGTGCCTGTGTGTCCTACGCTTGCATCAGAAACCACAATCCAAAGTATGCTCCACCTGCTGGCCATCACCGAGTTGTGCTTTCTATTTCTGCACCAGTGAACAAGAATCACTGTGCATTCCACCCATCAGCCATCACCATCGCAATCAGTGCTTGTGCATTCTAGTCTGTGCAATCCACCCACCGGCAATCCACCGTTGCAATCAGTGCGTGTGTGTCCAACATCCGCGTCAGCACCCACAGTTCACTGTGTGTCAGAACTTGTGCTTTCTAGTTCTACACCAGTGAACGAAAATCATTTTTGCAGTCCACACAATCGCCAACCTGATCGCAATCAGTGCTTGTAGATTCCATGGTGTGCATTCCATTATGTGCTTCCATTCTGTTCGTTCTGCCTGCTGGCAATCACACCTCCACCTGCCGGCCATCACCGAGTTGCGCTTTCTATTTCTGCACCAGTGAACAAGAATCACTGTGCATTCCACCCATCAGCCATCACCATCGCAATCAGTGCTTGTGCGTTCCAGTCTGTGCATTCCACCCACCGGCAATCCACCGTTAATCCACCGTTGCAATCGGTGCATGTGTGTCCAGCATCTGCGTCAGCAACCACAGTTCACTGTGTGTCAGAACTTGTGCTTTCTAGTTCTACACCAGTGAACGAAATTCATTTTTGCAGTCCACACAATCGCCAACCTGATCGCAATCAGTGCTTGTGGATTCCATGGTGTGCATTCCATTATGTGCTTCCATTCTGTTCGTTCTGCCTGCTGGCAATCACCCCAATGCAATCAGTGCCCATTCTGTTCGTTCTGCCTGCTGGCAGCCACACCAATGCAATCAGTGCCTGTGTGTCCTACGCCCCTATCAGAAACCACAATTCAAAGTGTGCTCCACCTGTCGGCCATCACTGAGTTGCGCTTTCTATTTCTGCACCAGTGAACAAGAATCACTGTGCATTCCACCCATCAGCCATCACCATCGCAATCAGTGCTTGTGCATTCTAGTCTGTGCAATCCACGCACCGGCAATCCACCGTTGCAATCAGTGCGTGTGTGTCCAACATCCGCGTCAGCAACCGCAGTTCACTGTGTGTTCCACCCGCCACAATCAGAACTTGTGCTTTCTATTTCTATACCAGTGAACGAAAATCATTTTTGCAGTCCACGCAATCGCCAACCTGATCGCAATCAGTGCTTGTGGATTCCATGGTGTGCATTCCATTATGTGCTTCCATTCTGTTCGTTCTGCCTGCTGGCAATCACCCCAATGCAATCAGTGCCTGTGTGTCCTACGCCCCTATCAGAAACCACAATTCAAAGTGTGCTCCACCTGTCGGCCATCACCGAGTTGCGCTTTCTATTTCTGCACCAGTGAACAAGAATCACTGTGCATTCCACCCATCAGCCATCACCATCGCAATCAGTGCTTGTGCATTCTAGTCTGTGCAATCCACCCACCGGCAATCCACCGTTGCAATCAGTGCGTGTGTGTCCAACATCCGCGTCAGCAACCACAGTTCACTGCGTGTTCCACCCGCCACAATCAGAACTTGTGCTTTCTATTTCTACACCAGTGAACGAAAATCATTTATGCAGTCCACACACTCGCCAACCTGATCGCAATCAGTGCTTGTGGATTCCATGGTGTGCATTCCATTATGTGCTTCCATTCTGTTCGTTCTGCCTGCTGGCAATCACACCAATGCAATCAGGGCCTTTGTGTCCTACACCCGTGTCAGAAACCACAATTCAAAGTGTGCTCCACCTGCCGGCCATCACCGGGTTGTGCTTTCTATTTCTGCACCAGTGAACAAGAATCACTGTGCATTTTACCCATCAGCCATTACCATCGCAATCAGTGCTTGTACGTTCCAGTCTGTGCATTCCACCCACCGGCAATCCACCGTTGCAATCAGTGCGTGTGTGTCCAGCATCCGCGTCAGCAACCACAGTTCACTGTGTGTTCCACCTGCCACAATCAGAACTTGTGCTTTCTATTTCTATACCAGTGAACGAAAATCATTTATGCAGTCCACGCAATCGCCAACCTGATCGCAATCAGTGCTTGTGGATTCCATGGTGTGCATTCCATTATGTGCTTCCATTCTGTTCGTTCTGCCTGCTGGCAATCACACCAATGCAATCAGTGCCGTCCACCTGCCGGCCATCACCGAGTTGTGCTTTCTATTTCTGCACCAGTGAACAAGAATCACTGTGCATTCCACCCATCAGCCATCACCATCGCAATCAGTGCTTGTACGTTCCAGTCTGTGCATTCCACCCACTGGCAATCCACCGTTGCAATCAGTGCGTGTGTGTCCAACATCCGCGTCAGCAACCGCAGTTCACTGTGTGTTCCACCTGCCACAATCAGAACTTGTGCTTTCTATTTCTACACCAGTGAACGAAAATCATTTTTGCAGTCCACACAATCGCCAACCTGATCGCAATCAGTGCTTGTGGATTCCATGGTGTGCATTCCATTATGTGCTTCCGTTCTGTTCGTTCTGCCTGCTGGCAATCACACCAATGCAATCAGTGCCTGTCTGTTCAACAGGTGCCAGAAACTGCAGCGCCTACCCTTCCGGAATCCTGTCTTCCTTTTTTCCTAACTTCCTTCCGCTTGGTAATCAACTCATTCGTATCATCCTTTTCGTCCAGCTTTCTAGCCACTGCCTGCGGATCCTGCTTCCCCACGCACAAAGGGCATTTGCCGCCCAACATGTTCTTGGCCACCGCTCTCCTCCTCGCCACAGCCGCGCCACTGATTTCCCCTTAAGTGGTTTTCCTGCACTTCACCGCCTTGTTCCTTCAGTCTCTTCAACATCAGTCTTCCTTATTGCTTAACTTCCTTCCGCTTGGCAATCAGATGATTCATATCATCCTTTTCGTCCAGCTTTCTAGCCACTGCCTGCGGATCCAGCGTGCCCACCCACAAAGGGCATTTACCGCCCATCATGTTCTTGGCCACCGCTCTCCTCCTCGCCACAGCCGCGCCACTGATTACTCCTTACCGAGCTGCACGTTCTCAGCACGGCACCTTTGGGTGACTGTGATCTTCGGTCGGGGGTTTCAAGTGGTTTTCCTGCACTTCGCCGCGTTGTTGCTTCCAGTCTCTTCAACATCAGTCTTCCTTATTGCTTAACTTCCTTCCGCTTGGCAATCAACTGATTCATATCATCCTTTTCGTCTAGCTTTCTAGCCACTGCCTGCGGATCCAGCTTCCCCACCCACAAAGGGCATTTGCTGCCCAACATGTTCTTGGCCACCGCTCTCCTCCTCGCCACAGCCGCGCCACTGATTACTCCTTACCGAGCTGCACGTTCTCGGCACCTTTGGGTGACTGTGATCTTCGGTCGGGGGTTTCAAGTGGTTTTCCTGCACTTCGCCGCGCTGTTGCTTCAGTCTCTTCAACATCAGTCTTCCTTATTGCTTAACTTCCTTCCGCTTGGCAATCAACTCATTCATATCATCCTTTTCGTCCAGCTTTCTAGCCACTGCTTGCGGATCCAGCTTCCCCACCCACAAAGGGCATTTTTGCCCATCATGTTCTTGGCCACCGCTCTCCTCTTCGCCACGGCCGTGCCACTGATTTTCCCCTTACCGAGCTGCACGTTCTCAGCACGGCACCTTTGGGTGACTGTGATCTTCGGTCGGGGGTTTCAAGTGGTTTTCCTGCACTTCGCCGCGTTGTTGCTTCAGTCTCTTCAACATCAGTCTTCCTTATTGCTTAACTTCCTTCCGCTTGGCAATCAACTGATTCATATCATCCTTTTCGTCCAGCTTTCTAGCCACTGCCTGCGGATCCAGCTTCCCCACCCACAAATGGCATTTGCCGCCCATATCCGCCCATCATGTTCTTGGCCACCGCTCTCCTCCTCGCCAGAGCCGCGCCATTGATTTCCCATTACCGAGCTGCACGTTCTCAGCACGGCACCTTTGGGTGACTGTGATCTTCGGTCAGGGGTAGTGGTTTCCTGCACTTCGCCGCGTTGTGGCTTCAGTCTCTTCAATATCAGTCTTCCTTATTTGCATACCTTCCTTCCACTCGGCAATCAACTCATTCATGTCTTCCTTTTCGTCCAGCTTTCTAGCCCTGCGGATCCAGCTTCCCCACCCACAAAGGGCATTTTCCGCCCATCATGTCCTTGGCCACCGCTCTCCTCCTCGCCACAGCCGCGTCACTCCGCAGATCTGACCAGACATCCGGTGCAGATCTTCTCGGCGGCAGATCTGGCCCACCTTGCCAGTCATCTGGCAGAATCTACTCGCACCTTGTCACATCAAGCCCACCAAATGGAGGCGCTTTCTGACATCAGCGATTGAGCCTGAACATCAAGGCGTTCTGAGCCATTGGGATAATTCAGCTGCAGATTTCTTCCCTGTATTTTGATTTTGCGTAAACCGCTGCATCCTGTTTCAGGGCCCAGATAAGAGCTTCGCTAACCACTCCACAGTTGCCAAAAAACAGCCTCGCGGCAGCGAGGCGTGTGTGTGGACCATCTGAAAAGATGTAAAACTTCTAACTTGCTAGATGATGTGCTTCAATGGTTTTCCAATTTGACATCGCCTCTTTGGCTTTTTCATTTGATTTTCCAACAACAGCAGGGGGGCAAGGCCTTCAGTGACTACCTTGCCCAACGAAGCTATGTCACTGAAGGGGAAGCAACTGGGGACGCCCAGTTGTGTACCTGCAGATAGTTTTTAACTGTTGAACACGCTGTCCACTACGTTGTTACAGTTTCAGCGGCAGAATTCTTCCACACTGTTTCTCACGCCTGGTCATTCACCATTTCCTGTCAGGTTTACTGGAGTGTTTTTTGCACGTACGATGCATTCCACATCAGTAATTCGATATATAAGATGTTTCTGAGCAAGTATGTGTGTGTGTGTACCGTATGTACTGTATGTACTGTATGTATGTATGTATGTATGTATGTATGTATGTATGTGTGTATGTATGTATGTATGTATGCATGCATGCATGCATGCATGCATGCATGCATGTATGTATGTATGTATGTATGTATGTATGTATGTATGTATGTAATGTATGTATGTATGTATGTATGTATGTTTATGTGTGTGTATGTATGTATGTATGTATGTATGTATGTATGTGTTTAGTATGTATATGTATATGTATATATACAAACTTGCGTATATGTATATCAAGTTTTTGTATATTTTCAAAACTTCCAACTATTCCTATATATGCATATGTTCTTACATATGCATTTACATATCTATTTTTACACATAAATACACATAAATACACATATATACATATGTATATATATATATTTACATTCTCATCTATTCACATATATATGTATACATTTATATATAAATATATATATATATATATGTACATATATATATGCATATACATATATATATATATATGCATATACACACACACATATATATGCATATACATATATATATACATGCATACATACATACATACATACATATATAAATATACACATATATATGTAGATATGCAGATGATGGTGGGAAAACGATCTGCTGCCCATTGATGCTAACAACTTATTACTGTAAACGGACAATTTTGGGGTGCAACCCATAGACAACCCATGGATCCAATCACTTTAGAGATACAGATATAGCATGATATAGCCGAATGTTCATCCCGCAAATGTATGAAAACATGTGGGTTTGAGAGAGGTGGTGCGATAGGTTGAACCCGTTTCTGACCCATCCTGAGGTTGTATTTTACAATCGCACTTCCCATTTCAGAATATGATGTTAGCGCAGCACAATCGCTCCCACCATTTTGACCAGGCAGGGGTGGCTCGATGTGGAAGTGGGCACCCTATCCTTGAGAAATTCCAATTTCAAGATCAAATAAGTTCAGTTCAGACGTTACACAACCGTGGTTCATGCGTATCCTGGTCTTGAGATTTTCCCATGAACTATTTGTCAACCTCCGATGCTTACATTTTTTTCATTAAACCACATTTTTTGTAAATATTTTGTTTGTCCTTTCCTTTCACGTTATTATTATTTTTTGGCTCGGGTTCCCTCAGCCCCTCTCGAAACCCACAGGGTGTGGAGCACCTAGACGATGATGCACTTTTGGAAGAGGATCAAGGTGCACTGAAACTGTTGTTTCATAGCTAGTTGCGTCATTTAAAGCCACCAAACCCCATTAAGAATCTTGACTGTACCTATTTTAGGTGGAAACTATCAACAAACCAACTGGATTGAGAATTGGGTCGGTGAGTTCATGATTTCTTCTTACTTTCCACCTCTAGCCTCTAGCTGGATTTTTTTCCCAGATCGCTGGCTGAACCACAACTTCGAAAATGGGCAGGTGAATACCTTGGGAGCCAAACTAACAGAGCTGCTCGACCGTCGTGAAGACATTGCCAGTGAAGAGATCTCCCCCATTTCAGCCATGGCTTATCAAGGCAAGCGATAAAAAGTGATCAAAGGAAGTTTCGAGCTTGACTTCCGAGTTACGAACAAATGTCCAGGGCCAGTCTTGTCATCATGTCATCATCAAGCAAGAGCAGTCAGGATGTCCAGGGCCAGTCTTGTCATCATGTTATCACCAAGCAAGAGCAGTTTGCATGTCCACGGCCAGTCTTGTCATCATGTCATCTCCAAGCAAGAGCAGTTTGCATGTCTAGGGGCAGTTATACACTTTACACTCCACACATTACACGTTACACTCCACACTTTACACTCTACGCTTCACACTCCACACCTCACACACTACTACACACTTTACACTCCACACTCTACACTCCACACTTCGCACTTTACACTCCACATTTTACACTCTACACTTTTGCCCTTTACACTCCACACTCTACACTTTACATTCCACACTCCACACTGTGCACTCCACGCTCACACCTCATACTTTACACTTTACTCTTTGCACTCCTCACTCTACACTCCACACTTTACACCTTACACTCCACACTCTACACTTTACACTCCACACTTTACACTCCACACTTTACACTCTACATTTTACACTTTGCACTCCACACTTTACACTCCACACTCCACAATCCCCGCTTCACACTCTACACGCTACATTCTCCACTCCAGACTCCACACTTGGCACTCCCACCTCTTCCACTTTCTACTGTCTACAGTGCGCTGGTATGTTAACAGGGGAAAAATGGTCAAATGTACAAGACTGTTCAGAAACTTGTTTCACAAAAGTGTTTTACGTGACGGCATTCGGGTTCGTTGGTTTTCGTGTTTTTGCCATTGTGAGTGCCCGAAGAGGCTGCAACAACGATTTCTTGTAGAACGTTCCTGTATACTCATTTGATCTTTTATTCACGCTTTCTTCCCTTTCTTTTTCATTTCTTCAAACTGTTCCTCCGATGAGCTATGTGTGAAAACTCAAAGTCTAAAGATGCTCACCCATCAAGTTTTAGATCACTTGATGTCATTGCAGTCCCTGCATGGTCCGCAGAGAGTCACTCGCACCTCCGTCCTCCCACCTGTTGCCATGTGTCAAAGATGCAAGATTGAAAATGCGAAGCCGTATCTGTGCCGAAAAAGTTTCTGCTTATTCACCCCGCTTCGCGTGGGGTGGCCGCCCACACCGCAGGTTTATTTCGGTCCGTGAGAGGGGCTAAGGGTGGTTTTCCCTCGTGGGGGCTCCCCAAGCTAAGCATTTTCACTTTCCCCCCCCGTGGGGGCTCCCCAAGCTAGGGAATTTTCACCCCGTGGGGGCTCCCCAAGCTAGGGAATTTTCCCCCCCCGTGGGGGCTCCCCAAGCTCTAAATTTTTTTGCTTCCCCACGCTAGGGCAATTTTCACTTTTCCCCCCCGTGGGGGCTCCCCAAGCTAGGGAATTTTCACTTTTCCCCCCCGTGGGGGCTTCCCAAGCTAGGGAATTTTCACTTTTCCCCGCCGTGACAGCTTCCCAAGCTATGGAATTTTCACTTTTTCCTCCCTTGGAGGCTCTCCAAGCTGCGGAATTTCAAATAGCTAGACAACGACGCCTAGATAGTCCACCAAATCCCGTGTTCTTTGAATGTGTTTCCATGTTTTTGCAATGGTTTCCTTCAAAGCACGGTACTTTACATTTTTGTCGCCATAAAACCGGTCGAAAACATCATGTTCGACAATGCTTCCAATTCCCTTATCTCCCCAACCGTTGAAAATACCGCTATTTACAGTGTTTTCTTCAATTTTTCCATGTGCCGATGTCGGTAGCCAACTCCAACATATATATAAGAAATCCTTCCAAAACACTGTTTTTGACAGTGTTTTTCCAATGTTTCCAGTCAAACAGACGGTAATTTACACGTTTTTTGCCATAAAGGCAGTAAATCCTTCCAAAACATTGCTTTTGACAGTGTTTTGTAATGTTTCCAGTCAAACATACGGTAATTTACACGTTTTTTGCTATAACGTCAGTCCAAAACACTTGTTTTTGCAGTGTTTTCAATGCTCTGGCATCCAAAAACCTTGCAAAATCTTGCTATGTACAATGTTTTTTCATTTTTGGCCGTTTTTCCATTGCCGGAAAGCTACCAAAATGACCCAAAATTCCATTTCAATACCCTCTTGCGCTCAGACACCCAAAAATCCTCGAAAAATGTCGAAAACACCACCGTATGCTGGTCTCGGTGCGAAACCGTTTTTGGGGCCCCCCCCCAGCTAAAGCTGATATAGCGACTGCTATATTAACAAATGTCATTGAGCATTTAGTGTTGCTGTTGCCCCCCAATAAGCACGCCTTCACCGCCAAGGCGGTGTGGGCGGATTTCTGCGCTAACCATGCATGTTCGGTGATGCAGCAGGTAAGCTTCCGAGATGCGGACCCAATTCAGTGAACTTCTTTCTGTCATTCATTCAGTCGTTCCCTTCATCATGTCGCATTCTTCCAGTTTTTCACTCATTCTTTCATTCATTCATTCATTCATTCATTCATCCATTCATTCATTCATTCATTCATTCATTCAGTCATTCATTCATTCACTCATTCATTCATTCATTCATTCACTCATTCATTCACTCATTCATTCATTCATTCATTCACTCATTCCTTCATTCATTCGTTCGTTCATTCATTCATTCAATCATTCATTCATTCGTTCGTTCGTTCGTTCATTCATTCGTTCGTTCATTCATTCATTCGTTCCTTCATTCATTCGTTCGTTCGTTCATTCATTCATTCATTCATTCCTTCATTCATTCATTTATTCATGAAATTCATACATTCATTTATTCATTCAATCATTCATTCATTCGTTCGTTCGTTCATTCATTCGTTCGTTCGTTCGTTCATTCATTCATTCATTCATTCATTCATTCATTCATTCAATGCATTCAATGCATTCATGCATTCATGCATTCATTCATTCATGCATGCATGCTTGCATGCATGCATGCATGCATTTCATTCGTTCATTCCTTCATTCGTTTTTTCTTTCAGTCATTCAGTCATTCTTTTTTGCATTCATGCATTTATTGCCTTTTTTCTCCGTTGCAAGCTTTGTCAATTTTGTCCAGCTCACAGATAATTCCTATAAGGTTTGTCTCCAAACTTCCGCCCTGGTGCGTGCAGGGCACTACAGTCAGTATCTGGTAAAACGCATATGATTGGGACCGCATTTCTCGTGGTGGCTCTGTTACTGATATGAATGGAGACAATCCATTGGGCCTGAAGTGGTCACCCCAAAAGATTCTGAAGGTTTGCATACAGTGCCCCCCAAAATGGCGAATAATCCCATCCCCCAAATACTTAATACTCTATCTGAGCCCCCAAAACGAATAGATCCAATATCGAATTTTTGCCGGAGATTTGATACTAGGGAGAGGGAATTAATATTATATGGTTCGTGCGAGCACTTGAATGACTTGAATAAGCGTCCTGGCCGCTTTCTCCCATCTCAAGTTCAAAGGCAGGGTCTGGCGTGCTATGGATCAGCATTCCCTTTTGTTGGTGAGCGTGGTGCTAGTGACTGGCTTTGCAGTGGGCTGGCAATCACGAGGGGAAGTGCGCGTGGAAGCCCCTCCTTGCTCTTGTGCCTGCCATTGCGGTTGCCATTGCACAGCTAGCCTGGGAGCTTCGATTTGGTTGGTCATAGCCTTGTTTGCTCTATCAGGAGTCTTTGGAGGGTTGTGCTCAATCGGCGGTCTCCAGAAAAATCTGAAGTGTTTCCTTCCCCATCCAAAGGTGCAAAAGGTGTTTTTGGCCAGACTGGAAAAGTTCTCACAATCACCAGCTAAGTGAACCATGGAAGCAGGGCATCTGGCTTTGGTGTCATACGGTGAAATGCCGGTTGTGTGGCATACCAGAGTGTTGCTATCAAGGGTCAGCGGCAATAATTGGATAATTCTGACACCGGATCATGCCCGGTACGAAGATCTGCTGGATGTGACCAACCCAGACTATGATGACTTTGAATACCTGGGAGCATCCAATGCTATCCCAGCTCGCATCCCAGCTGGCTCGGTGTACGGTTTTGCCCCTTTGGCCCCCGGAGAATTGGCAAGACAGATGATGCTAGCCAAGCTCGAAGCCGAAGCGCTAAGACTCCAACAGAGTTTAGGGGCACCTGCGCCACCAATGCCAGGTGTTCCCGTTGCTCCTCCGGTCCAGCCTGCTCCAATGCCCCCTCCACCAGGATTTCTTGGACCAGGGCCTGCCGCTCAGACACCACTTGCTCCATCTCCAGCCGCATGCTGGGTGACAATAGAATCTGGGGGCACTTGGAAGAAGGGAGATGTGATTGTGGTAGAGCCAGCTCCTCTGCCGCCTGGAACTTTGGTCTTGGGCGACAGGGCTGTTCTGGTAGATCCGACTCTCCAGGGACAAGGGATCTTTTTGAGAAGGGTTCCTCATTCTCAGGCTCCCACCTACCAGCTCGAGGACTTTCGGGTGCTCCTGGTTCAGTTCGATGCTCAGGGTACTCGGCGAAAAGACTTCAGCTCTGCGGTCCCCCTCATGGTTGATGGCAGCCCTATGGGTGGTGGTTTGCAACTTGAGAGCCCTTCCACTGCCCTCAACGCCAAGAGCCTTCGCGATCAGAATTTGACGCCCACCACATACCACGAGTTTTGGCTGAGGAATGGAGACATCCCACGTGGAGATCGCAGCATCTATGAACATGATTGTCTAGAATCTTTGAGGCTATGGTCACGGTGGACCAACTCAATCCCAGTGGCCTTCAGTCTGCAGAGTTGGTGGTCAGGCGGATGCAGGTGATCAGAGAAGCGCACAGGATTTGCCCTTCAGCGCCGGACTATTCATCAGCGGATGTGTTCATGGGCTGGAGGTATAGACGCCAGAACCAGGGTGTCGATTCGGGCTTGGCTGCGTATGTTGCAATGGAATTCAAAAACGATGCCGCCATCGCCAAGGAATCCAGAAAGGCACGAGAAGAACAACAACAACGCCACCAGAACCCCTCGAAGAAAGGGGGGGAGGCGGAGATGCCAAGTGAAGTGGAGAGCCCTGGGCATTTGGCAGCTGGGTCCACAGGGTTATCAACGGCTGCAGCCTTGCTAAATGGAGCTGGGCCCAGTTTTGATTTTCCAGGCGGGGTGTCCTCTTCTGAAGGTCAAGATCGATGGAGAGAACTTTTTCCCCTGCCCATCTCTGCGCCTCCTTCCTCGCGGCCAGGTGCATCGATCTGCTCTCGGCGGCGACTCACCAAGGTCCGGAAGCTGGTGTCAGAGGCTAATGATATAGTTGGCTGTTTGAATGAAATGTACCATCCGGCAAAGAAGGGCTTTGAAGATTTGAAAACTTCGCAAGCTCAGTCGTGCAGCCAACATTCCATTTACAAGCAACTTCAGCGTCGGACTCCAGTTCGACAACCATGTACAGAGCGTGAGGCTGTCAAAGAGCTTCTGCCAAGAGGTGTCGTACAATGGTGAAACATGTGCGGCCACCATGCGCCCATATGAAAGAGACCTGGTGTCTCTCCCGGAATGTGGCTCTCACCTTCTGCCGCTTGAACAGGTACTGGATGCCACGGGACGAGAAGTTGTGGGCAACCCTGAGTTGCACCTGATGTTGGATGAGGCGCAATGGGGAGAGATTATTGAGAAGGGAGAGACGGTCAGACCTTACATGGATGCCAGATTACAAAGCGATCCGCAGCTTTATCATGGTTTCATCAAGGATTTGTTGGACAAGGGACTCATTGGATTCACCAGCAGACCCAAAGATCTAGTAACCCCCTTCTTTGTCGCAAAGAAGAACGGCAAGCTTAGATTCATTTTGGATTGCGGGGCGGTGAACAAAAGATTTCATCCTCCACCGCCTCTGGCGATGGCTGCAGGTAGCATCTGGAGCTCGGTTGGGTTACCGCCTGGGGAGGTGCTATACACGGCCCAGTCAGACATCAGGCATTATTTTTATTCCTTGGAGCTTCCTTGTGATCTTTGCGAATTTTTCTGTCTTCCAGCGATACCACACCACTTGCTTCAGGCTTGGGGCCATCATTCCGCGGCCGCCTTCTCTGCAGATGAGCAAGGCTGGGTCTACCCACATTTGAGAGCAGTACCCATGTGATGGTCATGGGCAATGTGGGTGGCGCAGCGTGTTCATCAAGAGGTAGCCATGAATGCGTCGGGCCTGGGTCATGATAGGGTGTTGGTGGAGGGCAAGCCTTGCCCTGATTTATCAGATGGCAGTCCAATCATTCTACCCTATGCAGACAATCTAAATGTGGCAGGAACCAGCGCGGAGAAAGTGCAGGAGGTGAAAGACAAAGTGGTGGATCGATTGAGGCAACTGGGCTTTAGGGTACATGAAGAGATCGATGCACAGCACACATGTCAATCTTTAGGTTTTTCCCCAACAGCAGAATGCTTTGGGGTCTTCAGCCATAGTAAAGGTTTCGGAGCAGACCGGAGCAGCTCCAAAACCCATTCCCCCAAGGTTCCCAGGTTCCAAGTAAAGGTTCCCAAGTAAAGGTTCCCAAGTAAAGGTTCCCAAGTAAAGGTTCCCAGGTTCCCAAGTAAAGGTTCCCAAGTAAAGGTTCCCAGGTTCCCAAGTAAAGGTTCCCAGGTTCCCAAGTAAAGGTTCCCAAGGTTCCCAAGGTTCCCAAGGTTCCCAAGGTTCGCTCAAGGTTCCCAAGGTTCCCAAGGTTCCCAACCTCACGGTTCCCAAAAGGTTCCCAAAAGCTTCCCTCAAGGTTCCTTCAGGGTTCCCTGCAAGGATCCCAAGTTTTCCAAGTAAAGGTTGTCAAGGTTCCCAAGATTATTATGTAAAGGTTCCCAAGTAAACGTGGTCCAGGTTCCCAAGGTGACATTGTAAAGGTTTCTAAAAGATTCCCAAGGTTAGATTGTCAAGGTTCCCTCAAGGTTCCCAAAAGGTACCCTCAAGGTTCCTTCAAGGTTTCTTCAAGGTTCCCTGAAGGTTCCCAAGTTTTCCAAGGTTTCTAAGGTTGTATTGTAAAGGTTCCTTCAAGGTTCCCAAGGTTACATTGTAAAAGGTTCTCAAGGGTTCCAAGGTTATATTGTCAAGGTTTCCTCAAGCTTTCCAAGGTTGCATTGTAAAGGTTCCCTCAAGGTTCCCAAGGTTACATTGTAAAAGGTTCTCAAGGGTTCCAAGGTTATATTGTCAAGGTTTCCTCAAGGTTTCCAAGGTTGCATTGTAAAGGTTCCCTCAAGGTTCCCAAGGTTACATTGTAAAGGTTCTCAAGGGTTCCAAGGTTATATTGTCAAGGTTTCCTCAAGCTTTTTCCGAGGTTGCATTGTAAAGGTTCCCTCAAGATTCCCAAGTTTCCCAAGTAAAGGTTGTCAAGGTTCCCAAGGTTGTATTGTAAAGGTTTCCTCAAGGTTCCCAAGTTTTCCACGAAAATATTCTCAAGGTCCCCAAGGTTATTATGTAAAGGTTCCCAAGTACAGTAGTAATATTCGTCGTAATAAATAAATTTCTTGAAGATATTTGAATGCGGCTACACGCGCGGAACCCGCGCAGAACAACACGCGCGGAACCCGCGCAAAACGCAGACGCGCATAACGCGCATAACGCGCGGAAACCGCGCGAAACGTAGACGCGTGGAACCCGCGCGTACTATTAATACTTCTAGTAGTAGTAGTAGTAGTAACAGTAGTAGTAGTAATAATAACAAAAATATCGTAAATGTAGTAGAAATGATACTAACCGTAATATTGATTAAATTACAATTTGTAGAAATATTACTAATATTCGTCGTAATATTTGAACTTCTTCAAGAAATTTGAATGCGACCACGCGCGCAGAACCCGTGCCAAACCCGCGCGTACTATTAGTAGTAGTAGTAGTAGTAGTACTAGTAGTAGTAGTAGTAGTAGTAGTGGTAGTGGTAGTGGTAGTGGTAGTGGTAGTGGTAGTGGTAGTAGTAGTAGTAGTAGTCGTCGTAGTCGTCGTCGTAGTAGTAGTAGTCGTTGTAGTAGTAGTAGTAGTAGCAGTAGTAGTAGTCGTAGTCGTCGTAGTAGTAGTAGTAGTAGAGTAGTAGTAGTAGTAGTAGTAGTACTAGTACTAGTACTAGTACTAGTACTAGTACTAGTACTAGTAAGCAGTAGTAGTAGTAGTAGTAGTAGTAGTAGTAGTAGTAGTAGTAACAGTAGTAGTAGTAATAAAATCGCAGATGCAGTAGAAATGATACTAATCGTCATATTGATTAAATTATAATTAGTAAAAATAGTAATAAATAATGTTCATCGTTATATATGATTTTTTCTTAGAGAAATTTGAATGCGACACCGCGCGTGGAACCCGAGCAGAACAACACGCGCGGAACCCGCGCGAAACGCAAACGCGCAAAACGCGCGAAACCCGTGCGAAACGCAGACGCGCGGAACCCGCGCGTATTATTACTACTTCTCGTACTAATAATAATAGTAGTAGATGTATAGTAGAAATTATATTAATCGTAGTACTGATTAAATTACGATTAGTAGAAGTAGCAGTGATTTTCATCGTAATATATGAATTTCTTCAAGAAATTTGAATGCGGCTACACGCGCGGAACCCGCGCAAAACAACACGTGCGGATACCGCTCAAAACGCAGATGCGCGTAACGTGCGGAAACCGCGCAAAACGCAGACGCGCGAAACGCGCGTGTACTATTAATACTTCTAGTAATAGTAGTAGTAGTAGTAGTAGTAGTAGTAAGTCGTCGTCGTCGTCGTCGTAGTAGTAGTAGTAGTCGTAGTCGTCGTAGTCGTCGTAGTCGTCGTAGTAGTAGTAGTAGTAGTTGTAGTAGATTATTATTACTAGTAGTAGTAGTAGTAGAAGTAGAAGTAGAAGTAGAAGTAGTAGAAGTAGAAGTAGAAGTAGAAGTAGAAGTAGTAGTAGTAGTAGTAGTAGCAGTAGCAGTAGTAGGAGTAGTAATATTATCGCAGATGTAGTAGAAAAGAAACTAATCGTAAAATTGATTAAATTATAATTAGTAAAAGTAGTAGTAATATCCGTCGTAAAATATTAATTTCTTGAAAATATTTGAATGCGACGACGCGCGCGGAACCCGCAGAGAACAACATGCGCGAAAAGCAGACGCGCATAACGTGCGGAACCCGCGCGTACTATTACTACTTCTAGTAGTAGTAATAGTAGTAATAGTAGTAGTAGTAGTAGTTGTTGTTGTTGTAGTAGTAGTGGTAGTAGTGGTAGTAGTGGTAGTAGTGGTAGTAGTGGTAGTAGTAGTAGTAGTAGTCGTAGTAGTCGTAGTAGTGGTAGTAAGTAGTAGTAAGTAGTAGTAAGTAGTAGTAAGTAGTAGTAAGCAGGAGTAAGCAGCAGTAAGCAGTAGTAAGCAGTAGTAAGTAGTAGTAAGTAGTAGTAAGTAGTAGTAAGTAGTAGTAAGTAGTAGTAAGTAGTAGTAAGTAGTAGTAAGTAGTAGTAAGTAGTAGTAAGTAGTAGTGAGTAGTAGTAAGTAGTAGTAAGTAAGTAGTAGTAAGTAGTAGTAAGTAGTAGTAAGTAGGAGTAAGTAGGAGTAAGTAGTAGTAAGTAGTAGTAAGTAGTAGTAAGTAGTAGTAAGTAGTAGTAAGTAGTAGTAAGTAGTAGTAAGTAGTCGTAAGTAGTAGTAAGTAGTAGTAAGTAGTAGTAAGTAGTAGTAAGTAGTAGTAAGTAGTAGTAAGTAGTAGTAAGTAGTAGTAAGTAGTAGTAAGTAGTAGTAAGTAGTGGTAAGTAGTGGTAAGTAGTGGTAAGTAGTAGTAAGTAGTAGTAAGTAGTAGTAAGTAGTAGTAAGTAGTAGTAAGTAGTAGTAAGTAGTAGTAAGTAGTAGTAAGTGGTAGTAAGTAGTAGTAAGTAGTAGTAAGTAGTAGTAAGTAGTAGTAAGTAGTAGTAAGTAGTAGTAAGTAGTAGCAAGTAGTAGTAAGTAGTAGCAAGTAGTAGTAAGTAGTAGTAAGTAGTAGTAAGTAGTAGTAAGTAGTAGTAAGTAGTAGTAAGTAGTAGTAAGTAGTAGTAAGTAGTAGTAAGTAGTAGTAAGTAGTAGTAAGTAGTAGTAAGTAGTAGTAAGTAGTAGTAAGAAGTAGCAAGTAGTAGTAAGAAGTAGTAAGTAGTAGTAAGTAGTAGTAAGTAGTAGTAAGGAGTAGTAAGGAGTAGTAAGGCGTAGAAAGGAGTAGTAAGGAGTAGTAAGGAGTAGTAAGGAGTAGTAAGGAGTAGTACGCAGTAGTACGCAGTATAGTACGCAGTAAAGTACGCAGTATAGTACGCAGTATAGTACACAGTATAGTACACAGTATAGTACGCAGTAGTACGCAGTAGTACGCAATATAGTACTACTGCAGTAGTATTAGTAGTAGTAGTAGTAGTAGCAGTAGTAGTAGTAGTAGCAGTAGTAGTAGTAGTAGTACGCAGTAGTAGTACCCAGTAGTACGCAGTAGTACGCAGTAGTAGTACGCAGTAGTACGCAGTATAGTACGCAGTAGTACGCAATAGTACGCAGTAGTACGCAGTAGTACGCAGTAGCAGGCAGTAGTAAGCAGTAGCACGCAGTAGTACGCAGTAGTACGCAGTAGTACGCAGTAGTACGCAGTAGTAGGCAGTAGTAGGCAGTAGTACGCAGTAGTACTACGCAGTACTACGCAGCAGTACTACGCAGTAGTACTACGCAGTAAGTATAGTACTACGCAGTAGTACTACGCATTAGTACTACGCAGTAGCACGCAGTAGCACGCAGTAGCACGCAGTAGCACGCAGTAGCACGCAGTAGTACGCAGTAGTACGCAGTAGTACGCAGTAGTACGCAGTAGTGCGCAGTAGTACGCAGTAGTACGCAGTAGTAGGCAGTATTAGTACCTATAGTACGCAGTAGTAGTACGCAGTAGTAGTACGCAGTAGTAGTATGCAGTAGTAGTACGCAGTAGTAGTACGCAGTAGTAGCACGCAGTAGTACGCAGTAGTAGTACGCAGTAGTAGTACGCAAGTAGTAGTACGCAGTAGTAGTACGCAGTAGTAGTACGCAGTAGTAGTACGCAGTAGTAGTACGCAGTAGTAGCACGCAGTAGTAGCACGCAGTAGTAGTACGCAGTAGTAGTACGCAGTAGTATAGTACGCAGTAGTAGTACGCAGTAGTACGCAGTAGTAGTACGCAGTGGTACGCAGTAGTACTACGCAGTAGTATACGCAGTAGCACTACGCAGCGCAGTAGTACTACGCAGTAGTACGCAGTAGTACTACGCAGTAGTAGTACGCAGTAGTACGCAGTAGTACGCAATAGTACTACGCAGTAGTATTACGCAGTAGTATTACGCAGTAGTACGCAGTAGTACTACGCAGTAGTACTACGCAGTAGTACTATACGCAGTAGTACGCAGTAGTACTAGTAGTAGTACGCAGTAGTACGCAGCAGTAGTACTACGCAGTAGTACGCAGTAGTACTACGCAATAGTACTACGCAGTAGTACGCAGCAGTACTACGCAGTAGTACGCAGTAGTACTACGCAGTACTACGCAGCAGTACTACGCATTAGTACTACGCAGTAGTACTGAGCAGTAGTACTACGCAGTAGTACTACGCAGTAGTAGTACGCAGTAGTACTACGCAGTAGTACTACTCAGTAGTAGTACGCAGTAGTACTACGCAGTAGTAGTACGCAGTAGTACTACGCAGTAGTAGTACGCAGCAGTACTACGCAGTAGTACTACGCAGTACTACTACGCAGTACTACTACGCAGTAGTACTACGCAGTAGTACTACGCAGTACTACGCAATAGTACGAAGTACTACGCAGTAGTACTACGCAGTAGTACGCAGCAGTAGTACGCAGTATACGCAGTAGTACTACGCAGTACTACTACGCAGTACTACGCATTAGTACTACGCAGTAGTACTGAGCAGTAGTACTACGCAGTAGTACTACGCAGTAGTAGTACGCAGTAGTACTACGCAGTAGTACTACACAGTAGTAGTACGCAGTAGTACTACGCAGTAGTAGTACGCAGTAGTACTATACGCAGTAGTAGTACGCAGCAGTACTACGCAGTAGTACTACGCAGTACTACTACGCAGTACTACTACGCAGTACTACACAATAGTACGAAGTACTACGCAGTAGTACTACGCAGTAGTAGTACGCAGTAGTAGTACGCAGTAGTAGTACGCAGTAGTAGTACGCAGTAGTAGTACGCAGTAGTAGTACGCAGTAGTAGTAAGCAGTAGTACGCAGTAGTAGTACGCAGTAGTACGCAGTAGTAGTACGCAGTAGTACGCAGTAGTAGTACGCAGTAGTACGCAGTAGTACGCAGTAGTAGTACGCAGTGGTACGCAGTAGTAGTACGCAGTAGTAGTACGCAGTAGTAGTACGCAGTAGTAGTACGCAGTAGTAGTACGCAGTAGTACGCAGTAGTACGCAGTAGTAGTACTACGCAGTAGTATTACGCAGTAGTAGTACGCAGTAGTACTACGCAGTAGTACGCAGTACTACGCAGTAGTAATACGCAGTAGATCGCAGTAGTAATACGCAGTAGTAGTACGCAGTAGTAGTACGCAGTAGTAGTACGCAGTAGTAGTACGCAGAAGTAGTACAGAGTAGTAGTACGCAGTAGTAGTACGCAGTAGTAGTACGCAGTAGTAGTACCCAGTAGTACGCAGTAGTACGCAGTAGTACGCAGTAGTACGCAGTAGTACGCAGTAGTTGCAGTAGCACACAGTAGTACGGAGGAGTACGGAGGAGTACGGAGGAGTGCGGAGGAGTACGGAGGAGTACGGAGGAGTACGGAGGAGTACGGAGGAGTACGGAGGAGTACGGAGGAGTACGGAGGAGTACGGAGGAGTACGGAGGAGTACGGAGGAGTACGGAGGAGTACGGAGGAGTACGGAGGAGTACGGAGGAGTACGGAGGAGCACGGAGGAGCACGGAGGAGTACGGAGGAGTACGGAGGAGTACGGAGGAGTACGGAGTAGTTTTAAACGGAGTAGAGTAGTACGGAGTAGTACGGAGTAGTACGGAGTAGTACGGAGTAGTATACGGAGTAGTATACGGAGTAGTATACGGAGTAGTACGGAGTAGTACGGAGTAGTACGGAGTAGTACGGAGTAGTACGGAGTAGTACGGAGTAGTACGGAGTAGTACGGAGTAGTACGGAGTAGTACGGAGTAGTACGGAGTAGTATACGGAGTAGTATACGGAGTAGTATACGGAGTAGTATACGGAGTAGTACGGAGTAGTACGGAGTAGTACGGAGTAGTACGGAGTAGTACGGAGTAGTACGGAGTAGTAGTACGCAGTACAGAGTACAGAGTACGCAGTACGCAGTACGCAGTAAGCAGTACAGAGTACAGAGTACGCAGTACGCAGTACGCAGTAAGCAGTAAGCAGTAAGCAGTAAGCACTAAGCACTAAGCACTAAGCAGCTAGCAGTAAGCAGTAAGCAGTAAGCAGTAAGCAGTAAGCACTAAGCACTAAGCACTAAGCAGTAAGCAGTAAGCAGTAAGCAGTAAGCAGTAAGCAGTAAGCACGTAGTACGTAGTACGTAGTAAGTAGGTAGTGGTAGTAGTAGTAGTAGTAGTAGGAGTAGGAGTAGCAGTAGGAGTAGGAGTAGTAGCAGTAGTAGTGGTAGTAGTAGTAGTAGTAGATTAGTAGTAGTAGATTAGTAGTAGTAGATTAGTAGTAGTAGATTAGTAGTAGTAGATTAGTAGTAGTAGATTAGTAGTAGTAGATTAGTAGTAGTAGTAGTAGTAGTAGTAGTAGTAGTAGTAGTAGTAGTGGTGGTGGTGGTAGTGGTAGTGGTAGTGGTAGTAATAAGTAGTAGTAGTAGTAGTAGTAGTAGTAGTAGTAGTAGTAGCAGTAGTAGTAGTAGTAGATTAGTAGTAGTAGTAGTAGTCGTCGTCGTAGTCGTCGTAGTCGTCGTAGTCGTCGTAGTAGTAGTAGTAGTCGTCGTCGTCGTAGTAGTAGTCGTCGTCGTCGTCGTTGTAGTAGTAGTAGTAGTAGAAGTAGAGAAGTAGAGAAGTAGAGAAGTAGAGAAGTAGAGAAGTAGAGAAGTAGAGAAGTAGAGAAGTAGAGAAGTAGAGAAGTAGAGAAGTAGAAGTAGTAGTAGTAGTAGTAGTTGTAGCAGTAGTAGTAGTAGTAGTAGGGGAAGCCGGCGGTAGGACGGCGCAAAAATGCACTGCATTGCTTGGTCATGAAACAAAACTACCACGCTTATATGGAATTACTGTTTGGGATCTACGGCCGCTGCTTTCTTGCTGTTGGGGATATTCTTTGGGCTTATTTGATCGACGGCGTGAATGGCATGATCTCACCAATCCCTGAAAGATTGGACAAAATCTGCAAGGTCTTTGCGTGGCTCTCCAGAGGGCCGAAAGTGACTGGAAAGGCCGTGGAAAGGATCTTGGGACACGCTGTTCATATTTGTTTGCTGCGCCGTGAGTTGCTTAGCATTTTTTGAGGCTTAAATGATTTTGCATATTCATGCTATGATAAAAAGACAAAGTTGTGGCCAGTGGCCGCGAAGGAAGCTAGATGGGCGTCTCACCTTCTCCAGCTCTGCCAAGCTGATCTCACCAAGCGTTGGTCTGGCCAGGTAACTGCCTCCGATGCTTCACTGAGTGGCATGGCGGTTTGCAAGCGACCCATGGATGTTGAGGTCCAGTCACAGTTGGGTGGATACAAGGAGCATTGGCGTTTTAAGAGCAAGATACCGGTTAATCCTAGGACCTCAGCCCTGCAGTCCATGGACCCTTTCCTCCATCCAGATACACTGAAACCAACGAAGGTTGAAAAAGTGGATGCGTTTGAGCTAGATGAAGAATTCCCAAATGTCCCTGCAGAGCACTTCCAATCTGACTTGTGGCATGAAGTTTTCTCAGTAAGAATGATGCTGCCTGAACATATCACCTTGCTGGAGGGGAGGGGCGTAGTTGCCTCCTTGCGTCACAAAGTTCGTTCATGTGATGAATTCCATAGGCGTCACCTTCATTTTTCAGATAATCTGGCAGTGGCTCTTTTGGCTGGCAAGGGCAGATCAAACAATTTCGCTATGTTGAGGATTAGCAGACGAATAGCTGCATTCCTGCTAGCGACCAACTGCTCTTTTGTGGTGCGGTGGATGCCCTCCGAGCTGAACGTAGCCGACAAGGGATCCAGGCAGTGGGAACATTTGAGAGAACATCATGCTACTAGCAGAAGCCAAAAAGAAAGGTGGAAGAAAGAGGCCAATGACATTTGCTATGGCCAGCCATCCAGGGCCTTGGGAAGAGCAGTTCTTGAGATGCGAGGCTCCAGCCATAGCAAAGCGGAGTCGCAAGGGCAGCTCCAGAGCGAGGACCAAGGCGGAGAAGCAGCAGTGCCGGCAACATCAGCTGGAAGCGCGGGTGGATCCTCCACGTTTCCAGGCGCAGACACTCCTGGAGAAGGTGGCTGTGTCCCTTCCGGTGGCAATCATGTACCAAAAGCGCATCGAGGAGCTGAAGTTTTTTGCGAAGTCACTCAAACTGAACTTAAAGACAAAAGCCAACTTCGATGCCATTTGTTGCAAGTTTGTGAACAACATGTTCGAGCTAGGGTTCGACGTGCAAGACGGCAGCAAAACTCTGGCAGCCATCGTCGATGCCTATCCAGACTTCGCCCCGAAGCACATGCTGCCGCGCACAAGGAGAGCCTTGCAAGGATGGGCAAAATTGGAGCCTCAGCAAACCAGACCTCCAATTCCATGGCCCCTGCTGGCATTGATGGTGCTGACCATGCTGAAAAGGAAGCAGAGGGCGACAGCCGGGGCAGTGCTTCTGATGTTCACTGGCTATCTACGGCCAGGCGAAGCGCTGGATCTTCAGCGCCAAGACCTGGTTCGTCCTATAATGCCAGGATCAAGACACTATGCCCTTCATCTGCATCCAGCGCAAAGACAACAGCAATCAAAAGTGGGGCTAAGCGACGAGTCCATCCTGCTAGACAGCCCCCTCTTGCCTTGGCTGGGCGATGCTCTGATGAACATAATGACTCACCCGGCGTATCTTTTGGACCTGACCTACAACAAACTGGTCAAGGAATGGAAGCAGACTCTCATTGCCTTGGGCCTATCCGAAAAACATGCAGTGCTGTACCAACTTCGGCATGCAGGTCCAAGCTACGACCGGCATCAGAGCCTTCAGACTTTGCCAGAGGTGAAGCAGCGAGGCAGGTGGGCTGCAGACAGCAGTGTGAGACGCTACGAAGCACACGCGCGAATCAACCAAGAGTTCCACCTTTTGCCAAAGAACCTGCAAGACAGATGCTTGAAAGCGGCCTCCAGCTTCCCAAGCGAGGCCCCAAAGTATTTCGGCCTGTAGCCTTGAATGATGCCCTCAAAAAGGATATTGTGATCGAGCTCTTCAGTGGTTGTGCCCGGCTCTCTTCAGCATGTTCCTCTGTAGGCTTCCTCTCTTTGGCTTATGACATTGAATACAACTCTTGGTGTGATCTTTGCAACCTTAAGATTCTGCAGTCCGTGCTCAGCTTCATCCAAAAGCATTCCCATCGCATAGCTTTGGTTTGGATGGGCACTCCCTGCTCTTCATGGTCACGAGCGCGTAAACACGATGGCGGTCCAAAGCCTCTGCGTGATGACCGGCAGAACTTGTTGGGTTTCTTGGATGTTTCCCCGCAAGATAGAAACAACATTTTCTTAGGCAATAGTCTTATGGCAACAAGTGCTCGCATTGCCCGTCATTGCTCACTACTTCACATCAGCTATGTCATCGAAAATCCTTTCAGTTCTCGCATCTGGCTCACTTCTGAATTTTGCAAATTGCGCTCTGCGGGGGCTGAATTTGGCCGTGCAGATTTTCTGCGCCTTTAGAACACCTTGGCGGAAATCCACCGGCTTTCTGTATTGGAATTTCAACTATCTGGCTGAGATGTTTCGTGTGTGCAGCAATGAGAATGAAAGATGCAAGTTCACAAACCGACGCCACATCATCCTGCAAGTAGATTCATCGGGCATGTGGATGACACGTCGGGCTCAACCTTACCCACGTGAAATGTGCCATCAAATTGCTCACCAATTGCTTCAACAGTGCACTTCTTGAAAGTGGATTGGGGTGAAAAGGGGATTGCTTTTTCCAAGATTTCGCAATCCTTCTGACCATCACTCAGAAACCTGTGTTGGATCACATCCTTTCCTTTTCAAACCAATCCGGCTTGTCAAAGCCACTTGCAAAGAAAGAACAAAGAAAGAGCACTGGCCGAAGCGAGATCAGAGTCATGGTTCGTGCGAGCACTTGAATGACTTGAATAAGCGTCCTGGCCACTTTCTCCCATCTCAAGTTCAACCTCCGCCGCCCCTCCTCCACCATTCTCGCAAGCGGGGTGAAAAGGGGATTGCTTTTTCCAAGATTTCGCAATCCTTTTGACCATTACTCAGAAACCTGTGGTGGATCACATCCTTTCCTTTTGAAACCAACCCGGCTTGTCAAAGCCACTTGCAAAGAAAGAACAAAGAAAGAGCACTGGCCGAAGCGAGATCAGAGTCATATACATATCATATATATATATATATACAGTTACATATATATATAGATACACGTCTAAATAAATAAATATGCATATATGTATATATGTATTTGTATTATCTACCAATATGTTTCAGGTCCGGTTGAAACTACCAACCAGTCATTGGGAATGCTAATTGCAATCCAGATCGGAGATCCGTGTTGACACTGGCTGACCTGGCCCCAAGAAGTTGACAAGGGACGGTCATCAAATCGAGGTTTTGGGGCAGGCAGCCATTGCATTTTTGATAGAGTTTTGGTGAGGATAGCCTGGGCAAACAGCCCGGGCGAACTGTTTGGCACACCCCAGGTTGTGGAATGTACCAGTGACGAAGAAGAATATGACCTTGTTCCCGACTCACCTGGAAGGTGTGGTGTGCACGGCGGTGTCCCAACGAAACAATAATGGCTTCAAATCCACCAGAGTTTTGGAGACTACGATTTTGGGGCATGCCTTCGCTGAGTGGTTTGTATTACACAAAAAACTGTGACTTCTCTGCGATTTTTTTCGGTTCGAATAAATCTGGTCCAACTTTTGTCTCACGTGTTTGAGTCCAAAAGCATCCTACATAAAACGGTACTTTGGGTTGGTTTTCAATGAATCCCACCCCGATTCTTTTGAGTTACATCCCATTGCATAGTCCCAATCATACATGGATTTTTCATTGATGCTACTTTTTATGACGCTTGGATGCTAAAAATAGGGGATGTTGGCGGATGTTCTAACATCCCTACTGTGCACGGTGAACAAAATCCTGCATCGCCAGGCTCTTGTCGCACAACGAGGAACTTGCGTCGGGCTCGGGTGTCCGTTTTGACACCTGGCTTTGACACATACGCCTGGTGAGTTGATGAGGATATGGGATTGTATATAAATATATTACTATTATTATACCTTATAGTATTATAGGTTAAACATTAAGTAAAATCCCATATCTGATTATCTTTACCCATCTTTTTCCAACAGCGTAAGCTTGGGGTCCTCAGCCATAATAAGGGTCCCGGGGCAGGTCGGAGCAGCCAAAACACAGATTGCCAAAGTTCCCAGGTTTGCATGAACAGGTTCGCAAGCAAGCTTCCCAGGAACAGGTTCCCAAGCAAGCTTCCCAGCAAGAGGTTCCCAGGAACAGGTTCCCAAGCAAGGTTCCCAAAGAACAGGTTCCCAAGCAAGGTTCCCAAGAGGTTCGCAAGAGGTTCCCAAGAACAGCTTCTCAAGCAAGGTTCCCAAAGAACAGGTTCCCAAGCAAGGTTCCCAAGAGGTTCGCAAGAGGTTCCCAAGAACAGCTTCTCAAGCAAGGTTCACAAAGAACAGGTTCCCAAGCAAGGTTCGGATGAACAAGTGCCAGGCAACGTTTCCAAGAACAGGTGCCCACGCAAGGTTCCAAGCATAGGGAACAACAGAATCCTGCAAAGTTTGAAGAATTGTTCAAGTAACAGTACAGAGAGATTGAAGAACTACTTTTGCTTCAAAAAAATGGTACGGCACCCGCGCATGGATAAAAAACTAGACGACAGCGTGGCCCGAAAGAAAGCAGGAGGGAGGAGACGAGAAGCTAATTAATACACAAGAAACATGATGATGACAATGACGATGACGATGATGACGATGATGACGATGATGACGATGATGACGGTGATGACGATGATGATGATGATGATGACGACGACGATGACGATGACGATGATGTTGCTGATGATGATGATGACGATGACGACGCTGATGAGGATGAGGATGAACAACGTTGGAGATGATGATGAATGATAGCTGACGTGGGCCAACTGTCATATAACCACAGTTTCATGCCTTTTTTGTCCCCGCAGAAGGTTTGCTCCAGGGCTGGCACCTGAGCGACAGTCAGAATCAAAAGAGATGTTGCTCTTACACGCCAAAAGTTTTACACAGAAGATTTTACATGCAGAAGCCTTTACACAGAGTGGCCTTTAGACAGAGCAGCTTCTACACAGACGCTTTTGCGCACAGACGCTTTTGCAGACAGGAGCTTTTACACAGAAAAGCCTTTTCTCAAAGAAGCTTTTACGAACGAAGCCTTGACACAGAGCAGCTTTACACACAGATGCCTTTTCACAAAGAAGCTTTTACACACACAGACGCTTTGTCACACGGAAGCTTTTACGTAGAGAGAGAGAGGCCTTTACACAGAGCAGCTTGTACACATAGATGCCCAAGCTATCCCAAGCTTTTGCACGTAGGGGCTTTTGCGCACACACGCGCACACACACACGCCCTTACACAAAGAAGCTTTTAGACATTTTTACAGCTTTTTCACAAGGAAGCTTTTCCACAGAAGCTTTCGCACAGAGAAGCCTTTACAAACAGAAGCTTTTACACGCTTTTATTCAGAGAAGCCTTGAAACACAGCAGCTTTTACAACGCGCTGATGCCCAAACCTTTACGCACAGGAGGTTTCTACGCAGAGGCATGTACGCATTTTTTCACACAGATGCGTCTACACACAGACGCTTTTAAACACAGATGCCTCTACGCACAGAAACTTTTACACACAGTAGATTGTTTTTCACAGAATCACAGAAGCGTTTTTGCTGACCGGCAACAAGATAGAATATTTTTCACTACCAGACACGCGAGTGAGAAAATTACCATCGGCCTCCCGCTCGAAAAAAAACACCACAAGATAGAATAAACATATAGAATATTCACACATATTCACAGAACACCCCCTTGAATATTCTATGTTGTCAATTTCGTGCATGCCTGTGCAGAAAACTTTGAAATTACTGATGATGTTTGAAGCAACAGGGTGCTACTGTGAAATGATGGTAAGCAAATTTGTGCGGGATTGCCAACAATTCTGGAAATCAATGTATGTATAAAGCAATCAATTGATTTAAAATGCACAACACTCATTATTTTTACTTATTTTATCCCTTCTTTTTCTCGATTTTTCATTATTTTTCTTTATTTGTTTCATTCCTTTTCTCAATTTTTCATTTTTTTCATTATTTCTTTTCTTCTGTTTCTTTATTTTTCTTTACTTTTCATTATTTTTTCCGTCTTTTTCTCAATTTTTCATTAATCTTCATTACTTTTTCCTTTTTTCTCTATTTTTTCATTATTTTTAAATTATTTGTTCCTTCTTTTTCTCTATTTGTCATTATTTTTCATTATTGGTTTCCTTCTTTCCCTCTATTTTTCAGTAATTTATTAATATGCTTTTCTTCTTTTTCTCTATTCTTCATTTTTTTTAATTTTTTTTTCCTTTCTTTTTCTCTATGTCATAATTTTTCATTATTTTTTCCCTTCATTTTCTCTATTTGTATTTTTTTCCGATTTTTTCTCTATGTTTCATGATTAGTTTCCTTATTTTTCTCTGTTTTTCATTATTTTTTCCTTTGTTTTCTCTATTTTTCATTATTTTTCATGATGTGTTTCCTTCTTCTTCTGTATTGTTCATTTTTCTTCCTTCTTTTTCTTTATTTTTCATTATTTTTCATTATTTTTCCTTATTTGTCCATATTTGTTTATTTTTTTTCCTTGTTTTTTCTTCTTTTTCTCTATTTTTCATGATGTGCCATCGTTTTTTCATTGTTTTTACTATATTTCAATGTTTCCTCTATTTTTGGTTATTTATTATTATTTTTCATTGTTTTTTTCCTTCTTTTTCTCTATTTTTTCATTATTTTCAATTTTTTTCCTCTATCTTTCACTATTTTTCATTATTGTGGTTCCTTCTTTTTCTCTTTTTTTCATTATTTTTTGTTTTTCTTTTGGGCAACCTATAGTAGATTCACGCCAGACTTTGAGGATACTGTAGGCGGTTTTTCCTATTTTTCATTATTTTCAATCATTTTGTTCCATTCTTTTTCTCTATTTTTCATTATTTGTTTCCTTCTTTTAAATC